CTGACCTATGTTTGAGAGTGCACATACAACCTTGACCTTGAAATTGATAGGTGGAGCCCACGCTTCCACAAGCCTAAAGTTGTGACTTGGTTGCAGGTCACGTACGCACTTCATCATCACAGAGAATAGGTTTCTGTGGTAGCTGTCACTTCCTGACTTGCTGCTCTACCCGAGTCTGGAGCCTCGGACCCATTCAGGAAGGAAGATGTGGTCCTACCTGTCTTACCTCTTGGACTAGATACCCAGATTGTTTTCTGGACAGTAGTAAACATTTGCCCCCTAGAGAAAGAGTTCTCAGAAGCCGGGCATGGTGACATGCCAACGATTTCAGCACTTTGAAGTGGAGACAGGAAGGTCAGGAGTTACTGTCTAGCCCACACAGGGCATCTCAACAACCCATTAAAAAGGAACCCTCTAGAGGAGCCTAAAGAGGGCTCTGACGTCTCTGAAAGCATCTGTTCCTCATGTGTCCACCAGCACCCCTGGCTTTCACACCACTGGCCTGGGAGCCCAGACTTCTGGTGCCCCTCCTCCAAATCATCTCCTTTCCAGAAGAGGGAAACTTGGTTTTTAGAATCTGCGACAGGTTTAAAGGAACTTTATCTCTTGGTGCCAGTTTGTCCTGACATGGTTGTGGGCCTCCAGCATCACCTCCAGCATCACTGCTCCTGTGTTTCTGAGGGACACTTCAGGCAGCGAACAGCTAGCAAGCACGTGGTTATCCTGAGGCCCATCTGTTTCAGAGCTGCCTGCCATGACGAATGGGCATTTGGGAGATGCTGAGGCCCTGCAGGTTCTAGTAAGTTGTAGACTCAGGAACACAGCCTGCTTTCAGAGTCAGGTGTGGGTGCCACCATCTCTGACTCTGTGCTGACAGCAGGACAAGTTGCTCCTGACTTAAACTAGGACTCTGGGTTTGTTTCCCCACTTGCTGCTGCCACCCAGTGGCCGTTATGGGGAATGTTTGTGCACTGTGACCTGAGCCACCCTGTGGGGTGATGCAACAAGCTGTGAGAACTATGGGCCCCTCGTTTTGGGTGTAATAAATGCGTGTTTTTAGGATGTGGACTATCCATGAATGTAGCAACTGGGCAAGCAGCGCCTTAGGCCAACACAAGTTAATCCCAGACAGTAGATGCTTGCCACCTTATTTACAGATCATGTTCCCACTGTGGCATGGGCCCCACAAGCATTACACTGGTCCCCAGTGGCTAGGAGAATGCCCATCAGAGACATCACAATGAGCTAGCGATGCTTTAAGGGCCAAAAGCAGGGCCTGGGGTAGGGTAAGCATTGGAGGAAGAAGGTGCTCCCGGGTCAGGCAGGGCCTGGGGTAGGGTGGGCATTGGAGGGAGGTGCTCCCGGGTCAGGCAGGGCCTGGGGTAGGGTGGGCATTGGAGGGAGGTGCTCCCGGGTCAGGCAGGGCCTGGCGTAGGGTGGGCATTGGAGGGAGGTGCTCCTGGGTCAGGCACTGAGATGATGTACAGAATGATAGGCAGCTGGGGTCCATACTGACCTAGACATGACATCCAGGGTAACCTGGACAGGGGCAGACATTGGTGTCCAGAAGCAGTGTAACAGGGTGAGGCTTGACCAGAGAGGAATGTCTTCAGAGGCCAAAGCAAGGACAGTCTGACAGAAGGTGTGGCTCAGGTTCCTTAAGAGGTACCGGGGTGAATGGGGGTGAGACTCATGGTTGAATCCGCTAGGGCCTGAGGTCACCAGACTGTCATGACAGGGGTTGGTAATGTCTGCCTTTGGCAGCCTTCCCCGTGAGCCTAAGTCATCTGGACTCGGTTGCACTGGGGAGGGGGCTCCGCCTGGCCAGTGGCCTGGCACAGGTCTTATCTGATGAAATTAAAGCTCTTAGCTCTTCTATTTAGCTGAAGCAGTTCAGATTAAAGGGCATTTCTATGTAAGCAGGACAGATTTGACTTAAATCACTAAGCAGAGGCCAGAATTACCCCCACAAACCTTCATTTTCTTCTTTGATCCAGGGCCTCTCCAGCCAACCATGGGCTGTTGCTTAGAATCCTCCATGTTCTGGGGTTTGATGTATGCTGGCAGTCTGCTGTGGTGGCCCTGTCCATGTGGTGTGGCCTTGGTTGATTATAGCAGCCCTGGCCTATTATTGTAGCCTCGGGAATGTCCCAGGAGACCAGCCTAGAGTTTGTGTAGGATCTTTTTTTTTCTTGTGAGGCTGGGCTTTGTACTTAGAGCAGTGCATCCCAAGCAAGTCCTCTTCCACTAGTCCAATCCCATTTTCTGAATTAAATAGCCTTGGTTCTCTACTTACAAGTACTTTTAAAGTCTATAACCCATGCAGCGCTCCACAGCCTGGTACTCAAGATTATCTTTTTAAAATAAATGGAAGGCATCCATGAATGCTAGTGGTTCCAGCCTCACATACAGGATAAAATATGGCATGCAGTCAAACTGGCAACTCTAGGCTCTAGCCTTTCAGCTGGATCTCTACCGGGTGCTGTACCCACCAATTTCTCAGTGAGATAAATCTTACCTGTTGAAGGATTCAAGCTCCCTGACAAAGAGCTAATGGGGAGCAACTAAGTCCTGGAGTTCCATGGGGGAAAGACAATCTTGGGCATCTTCTCTGCTCTCACCTGCACCACTTTCCAGGTCCTTCCTGGAGGTGCAGGTGACTCAGGAGCTGCACACCTTGATATTCCACTTGCCTTTGCTTACTCCTGTCATTTACATGACCCGTCCGAGTCTTTGGCCCTCACCCTGGCATCAGCCAGCTTTGGTTTCTGGAAGTAATTTAGAACCTCTGGGTTTATAATCAGACACAGGACCTGTCAGCCACAGCCCCTTGGAACTGTCCAGGATGAAGCTGAGCCTGTGAGGTCCATGTCCTTGGATTTAAGCTTCCACACCTCACAGAAGCAGGGACTGAAGCTTTACAAGTCACTTTGATTTCAAAGGGGGGGGGGAAGCCTCAAATCAGACTTTTAGAAATTACTAGATTTTATCCTATATTCACTGGTCCAAGCTGGCCCTTGTCTCTCTTCAGGCCTTCAGTCTCAGGACATGGATGACCCTGTGCATTGTAGACACAAATGGGCTTCTTAGGGCCAGGACAAACTCCTTGCACTCCAGTAAAACCATATTCTGAGCGTTGGCTCTGTGGGTTATTTGATCAGTGAATAAATGAGGACTCAATTCTACTTCCTTTTTGATAAAGGGTCTCACAACATAGCCGCGGCTGTCCTACAACTTGCTAAATAGACCAGGCTGGCCTCAAACTCGGAGATCCCCCACCTCTTTCTCCCAAGTGCTGGGATTAAGGGTGCACACTACCTCATACAGCTACAAAGGGGACCTTTTAAGAATTATGAGGGTTCCTCATTGAGATGATCTCCAGTGTAACCCCTCACCTAAATGACATCCTACGAACAAGCTAAATAGGCAGCCTATCTCTAATGGTTCCCATGCGTTGGGAGGTCTAAGAGAGAGACTTTGGGGGTATTTGAGGTGCAGATATGAGCAGGTCTCCTCTACTTCCTGGTTCTAGTTACTCAATCACGAGCATTTGGGGCACCTGCCATGAGGGCTCCTCAAATGCTGTTTCCCACAATCAGTGCACAGCCAAAAATACTCTAGGGCGGAGCCCTCCCTCTTTCCCCGCTGCACCTTTGGGTAGTCCTGGTTTCTGCTTCTTTCAGAGACTAACACTGGGTGTGTCCTCGCCAGCCTCGCACAGCTAGTACCCACAACACTGCAGTACTCCCGTCCCTGGCGCCTAAGCGTCTCTCGTATTCTCCTTCCACACATTCTGTAGAAGAGTCAGCCTGTCCATTCAGGCGTAGGCCTCTTCATGGTTAGTGTCTTGTTTGCTGCAAAGGTTTTTACATATGCTCTGTCATTCTAGGTTTGAATTAGATCTGCATCCCTTGTGTCCTTCAGATGGACATGAACTCGCCAGGTGGCGCCAGGCAGCCGCCTGCCAGGCACCCTGTATTCACCCACAGTGAGGAATGGGGGTAGCGGGTATGTCTTGGTTCCTGTGGTCACTGACAGGGTAAGAATGTGCGAAACTATACCTGGAATACTGTTTTCTGGATGAGGTGTAAAACTGAGGAGTCTTGTCTTTCTCCTGTCTCCAGCAACAAACCAAAAGCATCCTTTGGCCCATGTTATTGCTAGCTGGCGAGTTGGATGGGCCTTAGCACAGCTTCCCATCTACCTGAGGCCTCTCAAAGCTTTGAAGCCACCTGGAGTCAAACAAAAATACCAGGAAACTGGTGGGAAATGCCCTTGGGGACCCTGAGTGTTGGGCTGGGGGCTGAGAGTTCCGCTGCCACGAAGGGGCCCTTTGATTGCAGGTGGCTTCTATGGCACATTTTACATTTCCTTTCTTGTAGCCTTTGCTTCCTTTGCTTCTGTGGATTATTTACAAGAACCATGTGAGCTTTTGTTCTGCTGCATTTCTTGGCTTAAACATCCCCTGGATGTGTTTGAAGTCCTTCCCATTTTTCCATAACTGGTCTTGAGATTAGCTGTGGGCTGAGGGTTTTTCTTGGCAGCCATCCCTGCTCCTCAGCCCAGCTCTGGAGGAGACATTGGCCCCTCTGCAGTTCCAGTGAATGCTACCCTAAGTTCATCCCATGGGTACCATGGGGACAGTTCCAGTGGAAAGCACTGTACGCTAGGCCAGGAACAGAGTGCCAGGTAGAGCTCTTGGTCTCACGGCTTCTTATACTTGTGGGTTGGCAGTGTTACAGCTGAGCTGCAGGAAGACTCCCAAGTCTCACTTTGGACAGTGGGCTTTGTTTGCAGTGAGGCCTAGTTCTGGAAAGGACCCCAGCACGTGGTCCTGGTACACTCTGTTGTATGAAGCTTCCTGGAAGGGATGGTTATGTGGGCCCACAGACTGGCTGATACTGGTGTCTATTCAGCTCTGAGCCTCACAGAGCTCCCATCTGGTGTCTTCCTCTGCTCTGCTGAGCACCATGGTTATAAGTTGCCCTGTTCTTTTGCAGGAGCTGCCCAATGGGGACCCTAAGGAGGGGCCTTTCTGGGAGGACAAGGGCTCCCTAGAAGGTGAGTCCAGCTCCAGCAAATGCTCCCAGACCTCACCCTGATCTTAGGGCCCAAATCAGCACTGGCATATAAGGTCAGTTGTCTCCTAGTCTCAAGAGTGGTCAGTTCTCAAGTAAGCAGGAGCCTCGATCACCTGTGGTTCCTGACCAAGCAGGCAGTTGCCTGCTGGAAGTCACACACTAGGTACCCTCTTTGCTCATACTTGGAGAGACACCTGACCAATGACTCTGGGACCCTCTCCAGAGGACACAGCTTGAGACCCAGAGAATGTGGGACCCAGAACAGGGCTCCTTATCCATCCATACAGAGAGTCAGGGAAGACAAGATTGCTTGGCCATCAGATGGCCCACATGTGTCCTTGTCAGTGGGTTCTGGGTTGAAAGCATTAGAAAATGACCAGAATGAGAAAAGCCAGGTGATACAGGAACTCACTCCCCTAGAGGACTCTTGAGTGGAGACCAATCTGTTATTATGATCTTGAAGGTCCTTCTTGAAGGTCCTTCTCGCATTCCATCTGTACAACATTAGCCTAGAGGAAATAGATTGCTCACTATGGGATACATGTACAGTAAGGGTATACCAGATTGAGGTTAACTCAGGGGAGGCCTCTCTCCACTCTCTACTTTCCTGTTCTATAGGAGTAGGCTCTTAGCTCAGGGCCATTTAGATCAGAAGAGAGCAGACATAGCCAACCCATTTCCCCTGTCTTCCCGCTACCCGCATGGGGACAGGCCCTTGCCTCACCTCCTCTTGTCTCCTCAGTTGTGCTGCCCCCTGAGAAGTCTGAGGGCCATGAGAGTCAGGGACAGCCCTTCAGCATGGACGATGGGGAGAAGGCAGCAAGCCATGAGGGCCCAGTGAGAGTCAGCAAGAAGAACTTGAACATTGATGTAAGTCTACTCCCTGCAGTTATTACCTACATGACTGGGTCCCTAAGGCCATGGTGGTGACCCTAAATGGGGACCATGGCCATTCCAACCCTGTGGTTTCCTCTGCCTCCCTGAGACCTTAAAGCAAGACTAAAATGTGCTGTTCTGGCGGTGGCGTGGTGCTGCTGTGAACCTGGCCATACTGGGCAGATGGGTCTCCATGTGTAACGGGTATCCAACACTACTGGACAGGAAACAACAGCAGGGTCTCCTACCCCACAGGCAGGGGAGCAGCACAAACACTGGGTTCCAGTTCCTCTTACTCAGAGTCATCCTGAGTGTTTGCATGCACAGGGACAGAAACCACAGGGGAGAAACCAAGTCATGGAGTCACTAGGAGGGGTGGGTGGAGCTCGGCAAGAACAGGTATTGAGGGTTGCAGGCCCAGTGCCCTTAAGCTTCCTTGTCCTGGCTGGAAACTAGGAAGAACCACACACAGCTCAGAGTCCTCCCAGTCCCAAGGCCCAGATGACTCTTCCTTGTCTGTCTCCTATCCCTGCACACCACCTACAGGCCCTCCAGTGTGATGTCTCAGTGGAAGACGACAACCGCCAAGAGTGGACATTCACTCTGTATGACTTTGACAACAGTGGTAAAGTCACCAGAGAGGTAGCGTGCCCACGTGTGCCAGACCACCCACAGGATGAGGGCTCAGGTCAGGGGTGTGGCCTCTTGAGATCGAGAACCAGTCTGGTTCAGTAGACAGATGTCTGAGTCCTCGGATGGAGAGACAGAATGAGACTTTACTAGATAGAAGGAAGAGACTAGAACATTCCTGGGTTAACAGTCCCTCACAGGGCAGCCTGGGTCCTTAGAGCGCCTCTGCTCCACTGAGCTGTGTCCAGGGCAGAGGAAGCATAGCATTGACCATGTAACATTGATGCTGAAAAGCCTATCTGCTTGTTTATCTAATGTTTGGAAGGTAAAAGAGATGTGGCTTCCAGGACAGACAGCAGGGCTACCTTTAAGCCACGCATGACATCCTGGGGGCCATTCTGGGCATAAGATAAGGCAGTCCCTGACGGGGAACAGGTGGACCCAAGGTGCCTGCTGTGGCTAAGGGGTGAATACATGCTTGGTAAAGAAGGGAGAAATGTCTCTTGAAGTCTGTCATGTTGGTCCTAGGACATGTCCAGCCTGATGCACACCATCTATGAGGTTGTTGACGCCTCTGTCAATCACTCCTCGGGCAGCAGCAAGACCCTCCGAGTGAAGCTAACTGTCAGCCCTGAGCCCTCCAGCAAGAAGAAGGAATGTCCCCCCACCGGCCAAGGTGAGGGGTCTATGCCAGGAGCCTTCCTGTTCAAATGGTGCCCCCTCCATGAGCGCTACCCCTAAGACAGGCCAGTAGGGTCACCTAATTTATGTCTCACACTTGCTCTTCTCTGTAGCACTGACCTCTGTACCACTGACCCCTCCATATGAGCACTGTTCACGTTCCCCAACCACTTTTAGTCAAAAATCTGTTTCCACAATTTCCCAAGCAGCGCCAGGTACCTGGCAGGAGACAAAGCTGTTTGCTTAGTGAGTAGATAGGTGAGCAAGAAAAGTAATTCATTAACGGAGGGCAGAGTGGTCTAGGGCTCCAATCCAAGCACTAGGGATGTAACAGGGTTAAAAGTCCAAGGCCAGCATTGGTTGTAGCATGACTCTGTCTCAAAAACAAAACAAAACAAAATAGAATGAGTGGGTGGATGGGATGGGTTCATAGACATGGGGAATGCATGGGTGAAGGACAGGCAGAAGAATGCTTGAGTGAAAGCATAGACGAGCAGGTGAGTAGAGCATGAGTGAGGAATGAATAAACGTATGCACAAGTGAGGCGGAGTGTAACACCTTTCTTTCAGACCGGGAGCCCAGCCGTGGCAGAACAGAGAATGAGCTCACGGAGGATCCCAGAGTGGCTGACCGAAGGCTGTCTGCCTACAGCAGGTGAGGTGAGGGGGCCAGGTAGCTGCATCCTGCAGGCCTGCCTCCCCCAATGCCCTGTCAGGAAGGGTGCTGAAATGGGTAGGCCCTGCGTGCTGTGAAGGGTGATGGTACCTGGGTGGGGCCGAGCACCATGCCTATGAGCACCATGCCTATGCAAAAGAAGGGAACGGGGGCCTTTGTGGCACCAGTTAGGTGACCAGTGACCAATGTTTAGGGGTCACTCATGCCTCGTTGAGACCTGTGGTAGGTCCTGACAGGCTGCCACAATGAGCTGTGGACCTCAATTCTCTGAACAAAATACTTTGTCCAACTTCCTCCCTTCTGCCTTCTCCAACAGCGGATGCTATTCAAAGCCCCACCTCTGCAGGCACCCCTGTCAAATGATGTCTGAAGGCCTGCCTATCCCCTCTCCTCCCCACAGGAAACCCAATGCTGATTCCCAGCCCTGCCCTGTGCGAGTACCCTACTGTGTGGACGAGAACACAGAGCGTAGAAACCACTACCTAGACCTCGCTGGCATTGAGAACTACACATCTAAGTTTGGTCCTGGTAGGTGCTGGAGAACCCCCACCAGGTGCATTCTCCCCTAAAGGAAGAATCCAGAACCCCAGGGAGTTCTGGAATTCTGATGGTGTTGGGTTCCAGGCATCCATACCCCACTTGGGCGCCAGATCCATCCTCTGCCTAGATGTGGGATCACATCTTAACCTCCTGCCACAGGCAGGGACCTGGAAAGCAAGGTGGTTAAGCATCCAGGTGTATGTATGAAACATGTCCTGGCTTAGAGAAAATATAAAACTATTACATTCAGCTGGGGCAGTTGGCACATTAGGCCAGGATTACCAGCTTGTGTAGAAGGATGGACAGCCAGCATTGTAGACACTTGTCCTACTCGATTGAACATTCCTTTCTGATTTTGTGCCTCTTGTAGCCTTTAGAGATTCATGAACTTTAGCCTGCCTGGTACTCTGAAAGCTGGAGGCCAAGTCCCCCACTAGCACCCCATTTCCACTATGCATCCCTGGGGTCCACTCAGGCCATTTGAACATTGTAACAGTATCTGTAAGTTTCTCCAGTCTGTTCTGACAACCACAACTAAAGGTCTGTGGTTGAAGTTGACTCTCACCTGGGAAGGGCTGGCCCTATGTGATTTGTACTAGAGATTCAACCCTGATGACAGGGGCATCTGAAGAGGTAGATGGGGATCTAAGAAGCTTAGTGGGGAGTTTGACCACAACTGGCCCCCCGTATTGAGGTCACTGCACAGGGACGACCTTAATGGTTTAAGCATTTCGTGAAGCTGCAACCAGGTTATTCTGGAAGTCTACTTGATTCTCTCTCCTCTTCCTCCTTCTGTTTTTCTCTGTGTGTTTGGTAGAGAGGGAAAGGGGATATGTTAATGAATTAATTCTGGTCCTTCACTGGAGTGTCCCTTAATGACACAACTTTCTAATGCCCTCATGTCCTAGACAGGGATCTAACTATGCTAGAAGAATCTCCACTAACAGGACACACAATAGGGATAAAGGGCCAGCTGAGCCAAGCAGCAAGTTTCCAGGGTGGCTAAGCTTCTTTAAGGAGTGACATAGTGGCATCCAGGGTCCTTAACGAGGGGTTGACTCCCATCTGGAATGTAAGACACAATCAGGGACTGAGCTGTTGTTACTTCTTCATGCCCAGCTTGGGACATTTGGCCATCTGAGCTCTGACCCAGCCTGACCCAGCCAGCAGGTCACCTCTGTTGCAAACCCATAGTGCAGATATGACATGTATTCCCAAGCCTTACCCTGGGTCATCACTGTGTCTTGTCCCCAGGGTCACCACCTGAGCAGGCCAGGCAAGAACATCATGGCAGGGCCACACACATTCCAAGCAGGTCCCGATCACAGGAGTCGGATGCCCACGCTATACACCACCGCAGGTCCCAGGTCCTGGCTGACCATGTTGTACCAACTAACGAGCCTGCTATCCGGACCCTGGCTCCGCAGCCCCGGCTCAAGGGGCAGGAGAAGCAGTTCCTCAGGTCTCCCAAGGGTCCAGGAAAACCTCTTGGAACACCAGGTAGCAGCAAGCCAGGGAAAACGCTCAGCTATTGCCTGCAGGCTGTCCCACTGCCCCAGGGTGCTCAGGATGGCCACCACCTCCCACAGCCCCCACCACAGCCCCCGCCACAGCCCTATGGTCACAAGCGCTACCGGCAGAAGGGCAGAGAAGGCCACTCACCACTCAAGGGACATGGTCAGCCTACCATGGTGGAGCATGAAGTGGTACGGGACCTGCCTCCCATGCTGGGGCCTGAGGGCTACGTGGTGCCAATGATCCAGAGGCACGAACACCACCATCACCACGAACACCACCACCACCATCACCACCACCACTTCCACCCATCCTAGCACCCAAACAAGTACCCTGCCCACATGCCCTCAGGGATACAGAGCAGGTGCTGGCACATGCCTGGTAGAGTACAGCATTCCCTGCCCCCAATACCCAGCAGCAGATGATGTCAAATGGGCACCAGGGAGATGGCACCAGGCTGGACATCATGGACAAAGCCTTCCTTCTCCATGCCGTTTGGATGCTAGTACATCTGATGCAGCTGATAATCCCCACGAACAAGTGCTCCCGTGTGATCCAGAAAGCCCATACATGAGGACAGAAAAACATCTGCTCTTACTTTGGCTGTGCAGTGTGGTCCTGGGATGTTCACATCCTTGTGGTTCTTTGACCTTTGGGTGCCCTGGATTGTTCCTGGCACAAGGCCGGGAGTGAATGGAAATGGTAAAGCTTTCTGTGAGGTTTATTCATTGTCAGGTTAGCAGGCTGGCCTTGGGAAGTGGTTCTTCCGTGTACCACAATGTCAAGCAAAGCAAAACAAGGTCAGAGTATCAGCAAATGTGCAGGGGAGCAGGCAGGGTGATGCGCAGCAGGCAACACAAAGCTTGGTCCCCGAGCTTCCAACATCCTGGGTGGGTGTGGATAGGGCCCAGGTTGGGGTGGGATGATCAGTACCATGCTGGAGGCCCTCACCTAGGCTGTGCTCATTCTTATAACCAAGCGACACTTAAGTTCCCTTCTGCAAGGGTGTGGGAACCTCTGTAAGCCTTGGTCTTTTGGCTCCACTGAAACAGGACATTGAAGGGGAATTTTACCTGTTGCGAGTTTGTACAGGTGGCATTATGCCTTCCCAGAATAGTAAGAAATTGTACATTCTGTAACATGCCATGCCTTGTATTAAAACAGACTTTTCTGAGAGCTGTGGTCCGAATACCTGTACTTTATAGCTGCCAATGAAGATAACATGTACATGTTGTAAAGGGGTGAGTGCTATAGAACCACCTTGGCTAATCTGGTTGATGCACACAATACTTCTAATGTACTTTTGGACGCGTCTAAGAAAAAACAGAATTCTAAACCCAGAATTCAGGTCATGCAGACAGGACACGGCTTACACAGACGGTTGAGAAGCAACACCTTATCCTCTCTCCTTAAACACTAAGCTCTATGGAATTCCTGAAGATCTGAATGTGGTGTCTCCTGTCCCACACCGATAGGAAGACTTGGGGATGTTTAGCTCACATATGGCTGTCGCTGGCTACTTCCCAGCTAGAAACCACATACATGCTCCTGAATTCCAAAATGAATAGAGTGCATTACCCTTTCCTTACAGCATGGCTAAAGTCACTGGGCCATGGATGCAGAGATGGTACACATGTGGAGCTCCATCACACACACCACAGCAGAGGGATGGGGCAGGAATCGTCATGGCCACCCAGCCTGTCTCTCAGAATGCAGCATTAAGAGGTCCTTCCAGGCATCACCCTCCCTGTGGAGTGGGGGGTGGGGTAGGAATGGGATGGGGGGTCATGGGAAGGAGGGAGAGGAGGAGGAAGGAGGGAAAGGGAACTGGGATCGATATGTAAAATAAGAAGAAGAAGAAGAAGAAGAAGAAGAAAAACAAGTCTAAAAGCTAAAAATAAATAAATAAAAAAGAGGTCCTTCCAAGCTAAGAAACATACAGGATGTCCCTGATGACCCCTTGGGCCATGGTTCAGCTGAGCACCTAGGAAGCGGGGACATTCCGACAAGTCTGACCTTTGGTTTCACACTTTAAAATGTCAGGGCAGGTAGAAATCCTAACAAGCTCATGGCAGGGGCCAAGCATCTACGTGAATGTTAAGCGGTGACACTCCAGCCAGCAGAGGGACCAGGCCTTAGATAGCAGGGTCCTGGGTGCCAGTGCTGCATGTATGAGGCTTAAGAGATGGGAAAGCATTTGTGAACAAAACAAAAAGCCAAAAGCCAGATCGTTTAGTTAGGTGTGGCAGGGCATGCTACAATTCAAGACCAAGATACACTGTACAGTGAGACTGCCTCTCCCCACCCCCCAATGGCTCATGTTCTCCAAGAGTTAGCCACCGTGGACATGGCCACTAGTGTCTGCACATGTGGATGAGGACAGTGAGCCTGTGAGGTGCAGTAACTTGGCCTGGGTTGACTCAGGGACTCCATGACTGCCTAGAAGCAAAACAGCAATGTTGCAAATGGAGGCAGAGGCAAGACAGCCAGAAGCTGCAATGCTTAGTCTACTCTGGGTGCCAGGAAGGTGGCTCCATGGAGTTGGTAGTACCTGGCAACAGAAAAAGGCCGTGGTTGTGGGTGGGGTAGCTGTAGAGATGCCTCAGCGGTTAAGAGCACTGGCTGCTCTTCCAGAGGACCAGGGTTCAATTTTCAGCGACCACATGGCAGCTCCAGGGGATCCAACACCCTCACAAAGGCATACATGCAGGAAGAACACCATTGTACATAAAACAAATCACTAAAACATTTCCATTTAAAAAAAAAAAAGGTGGCTGTTGTGAAGGACACAAAGAGCCTTGGCTTGGTCGCCAAGATGCCCCCTTCTCAGCAGGTAGCCATCACTCTCGGGATGAACCTTCTGACTCTGGGTTCTATTCAAATGCCTTTTCAAGTGTGACTTGGACTTCTGCTGCCCTAAGCTGGCCATGTGCTTTGTTCACAGATCAAGGTCTCTTAACCTCCCTTTCCTAGCAAATTCAGGCATGTGTGGGGGTCCTTGTTCCTCTAAACATTTAGGGGTGGCTCTGTATCTCCAGGGCTCAGGCCTGGGCTCACAGCCACTCTGCTCGTCCCTGCTACCACCGGCTGGCTTTAGTACTACCCAAAGAGCCCACATCTTTGGTACCCATTGCCTTCACCATTAACCAGCATGACCCAGGCCTATGAGAACAGAGTGTCACCTGCTCCAGGTCTCCTAGGTTTGTGCATGCTGCCACGTGCGTCAGAACTTCCTGTTTCTGTGATAACACCGTTCTACTGCATGGATGTCTGGGTATGGATAATGCCATGACGACTGCCAGGGAGAGGTTAGTGGGGATATATGTCCTGGGTCACAAAGATAACCCTACTTAACAATTGTTGGGGCCAAAATGCTATTCTTGCTGCACAGTTCTGAATCCCAATGACTCAAAAACCCTCCTAGCTGTTCCCCATTCTCTGGATTATAGCGCCACTTATATTCTGACGATTTGGGGGTTCTCATCCTTAGATAAATTGAGTGTTGAGTCCCTACAATGGCAGTATTGAGTTTGCAGTTATCAAACCTAAGGAGCTGGCGGGAGAGTTCCCCTTAGTGGTTTTGTAGCACTTCTCCAATGCAGGATGGTCAACCCTAATCCTGAGTCAGCCCTGCAGTGGACCTCTCTGAGCAGCTCTGAGAAGGAATGAACAAGTGCATCTTCTCCCATCACTGAATTTTACGGTGAGTGAGACACATGAGGTTCTTCAAACTCTTATATTTCATAGAACTTTACTCTTCTACTAACAAAGTCATACAAAGACCAAAGCCTATATAAAAAGGAAAACACGAAACTGATTCGAATGGCCACAGTTACCAGGAGCACAGAGTTTGCAAGAGAAAGGAGGCTAGACACTCTGACAGGGGCTCTTGTAAGCAGTGGCCTAGAACCTGGAAAGTCCTGCCACTAGGGCATTCCTAACTGCTGGCAGAGGTGTCACACCTGCTCTGCTCTGGCTGTGTAGGGATCAGGAGTCTGAACCCTGATCAGAGCAGGAGTGGAAACCATTACACTGATGGGGACACATGCTAGGCAGCTGTTACTCCAGCAAGCTGACCTCTGGCTAACAAAATCTGAGGAACCCGTATAGGTACAAACTTGGCTTCTACCCGAACGGGAACTTCCTAAATATGGACAAAATTGATTCCCTTGGAGGAAGCCAGAGATGGGTCCAGGCTTGGCAGAATGGGGTATCCACACAGAAACATCTCTATCAAGCTTCCCCAGGGAGGATTAAATAAATAAATACGGAACATGAAGAACGGACTGCTGCTGTTGCCCATAGCCTTCAAACAGACCATGACCTACATAGCAGAGTGCACAAGAGTAAAGTGCAAATCTGTCAGGTTCTTGAAAAGTACAGAGGTGTCGGTGACACCTGGCAGGGGTCATGAGATTCAGCCAGAGAGACCCAGAGCCATGGCTACTGATGCTGAGGGTGTGAGGGATGGGACGGCATGTCATATGTGCAAAGCGGTATGCTAAACCACACCGTGGTTCACACTCTGGAAGGCTCCTGCGGTCATGGACCGTGCACACAGCTCTCAGCGTTCCTGCTGTTTGCTTGTCACACTGTGGCTCTCTGCGGTCACCTGCTTGAGGTTCCCAGCTCAGTGCTTATGAAATAAAGTGGCTGGGTTCCCATGAGAAGAGAAAGCAGACTGGCTGCAGGTAGCTCTGGCTTGGCAGATCAAAGGTTCTCTCTGCAGGAGCTCCTAGGGCATTCGCTCAGATGGGAACACAGCTGGCAGCCACCACCCACCCAAACGGTGACCCACGCCTACCCTGTAAACACTATCTCACTTTCCAGTGGTACCCTGAGCTGTGCCTGAGGAGTGTGGACAGGGAATGAGGAGGTAAGAGTGGACAGTCCTCAGCTTGCCTACTGTACAGAAAGCACAGCAAAGATACTCAAAGGAACAAAGAAGGCAGAGCCAATGGGGAACAGTTCACTGACATTCTAGCCCCAAGGAACTGCGTGCTTGTTCACGTGTTCTGGACAGGGTAGAAATGAGATGTAACTGCCACAAAATACTGGACAGTCACCCACAGAAAAGGGACACTAATATCTGGAGGTTAAGACCCTGCCTGCAGTGGGAAGAGCTGACCCCATAGTCCCTGGGTGTACCTACCATTGCCCACAATGATGCAAGGAGCCATTCCTGTCAGAACAGCTCTAGGCACTCCCCCTGAAGCATCTTCTACTTGGAGGCAGTCTAGGGGTGTTATATCTGTGGGAAGCCATGTGTGGCAGGGTGACCAGAATCACTGCAGCATCTTGGTAGGGCAGTGCCAGAGCAGTGGCCATCAGTCAGTGGCATGCTGGTGGGCCGGAACCTGGCCATAGGCTGCTAGCACAGTTCTGATCCCATCCAGGTGTGTCCAGGCTGCAGATGTTAGGAGTAGATGGTGATGACTTCCCGGCCACCACCCCTGACCAGGAGGACCCTGTTTAGCCCCTCAGTCAAGACTTCAAGGAACTCCATGTCTGTGGTGATAAGTTAAGGCCATACCAATCTCAACTGGCCCAGGAACTGAGGGACCCCAGTTCATACTACAGATAGCCTGGGAAGCCAAGGTCAGTGGCAGCTGGGCAGACCCCAAGGGGCTAGGGAGCTTAAGACAGGAAATGAGGGGGTGGTTCTAGTAAAGAACAGAAGGAACTGCCACCTCCAGAGGGTGGAGAGATTCCTGGAGCTTCCAGTTACTAACCAATAGGCAACTGGGCCACATGAAGCCTGGTGGTTGGGTGGTCTCTGACCAGGAAACCAGAGGAAACATCTCCCTCATTTACAACTGTGGTGCCAAGTGGCTGTCCAACCAGACCCCAGAGATGCCTTGACACCAGTAAAGCACAAACAGCCAAGGCTGTGGCCAACAGACTGAGCTGTAACACTCAAAAAGCAGGCCATCCATCCTCTTTGACATGCGACTGGGGGAGACTAAGCTCAGATGGCCCCAGGGAACACACTGACAGGACATCTATCCAGCACTGGCTCTCATGACAGCTCTGCTTGTGGGAGGGAGGTCACTGGTGCCAAGAGTGGCCAGGCACATGTAGGAGAGCAAGGGCTCAGTTTTTCCTGTGAGGGTTTGCTGTTCTATCCAGGGAGGCTTAGGGTCAGACTGCACTTACCAGGCATTTAGGAAACCCAGTTTGTGACCCTACTTTACACTGCTCTGAATCAAGGGACACATCCGATATCACCCAGGGACTTGCCAGATTGATTGCCACTGCCTCACATTGGGTGTCAAAGCAGATCACAGGTACATCCTGGGAAGGGGTCACGGCCCAGGTAGAGTGTTTACTAACATGCTTGAGCATACTTACCTGTACGCCTGTGCTTGGTCCCAGCACTACAAGAAAGGGCCCACCATTCATCCTCAGGTGCTCACATGCAACATCATCTCTCCAAATGCTAAGAAGGACCCTGCCAGCCTTCCCAGCCTGCTCAGACTCCATGTCGCTTGCCTACCTCTGTCCTATCTCCAAGGTTCCCAGGGCAGTGCAATGTACCAAACAGGTAGAAACGCACGCGCTGGCACTGATGGGCCCAGGTGGACCCCCTCACTGTACCCCACATCACTGTCTGCCTTGGGGGCCCCATATGCCTTCCCCAGCTCATAGGAACAGAGGCTCCATGAACAAGAGGAGCCAGGCCGGACAGCATTGTAGTTGTAACACTGTTCACTCCCACTAGCAAGGAACGTGGGAAAGGATACAGTTCTCATCCCCCTGCCGGTTTTTCGGAGGGCCCGGCATATTCAGCAGGACCAGTTGTGCATCCTGGGACTTGTTGAGGACGACACCATTCAGCTTCACAGCAGTGTGCATCCTCCTGACGTTGGACTGATCCCTGGAGAAGGGTGGTATAGTGGGCAGCACAGTGGGCTCGAGGCCTGCAGCCTGCCCACCCTCCCGTTTTGTTCATGTATGCTAGGAAGGGTTCAGCGAATCATCTGAGGTCAAGTGTGGGCTGGCTGACATACTTAGGAGCGGAAAGCATTTGGCTCTAGATACTTTAGAACAGCAAGCACATCACTAACTGCTAAGCTTCTAGACCCATAAAGAAATGCAGGTAAACTACAACACGTTCAGTAGCTGCACTTGCGAAGCAGCTGGTATAGGCAGAAATGGTATGGGGCACAGCAACTGTCTGGACAGACATGGGAACCAGGCTGCCTCTCAGGGCAGGGGTACCACTGCTGAATCCCTGGCATCCTCCTGACCCCACATCTGGTGCTGCCAAGTAGCAGGTCTATCTGCTGAACTGAGTACACAGTACTGAGGTCTGGAGAGTCACAACACCACCACCACCCAGGTTCTGTCACGTTCCGTGCTGCGTCTGGGATTCAGCAGAGAACGGGTTTGGGCTTAGGGACCCCTTTACTGCCCTTAGCAAATCCAGATGACATTGCCAAGCTGTAACTAAGAAATAAGAGCTTCTAGCACTGTGGGGTTTGGATTCTTTTTTGTAGCCTCCAGAGTGAGCAGAGCATCACTATCTCTACATCACGCACTCTGCTGTTATATGGGGTGCTGTACTCCTCTATGTCCCTAGGCAGCAGGGATCACAGCCACATAAGTTTGAGGGTACTATAGGTTTATCCTCACTGGCACACCTAAGTACTCAGGTACCTGCAAGACAACCCCTTTCTGGAGAACTAGATCAACCGCACACAGAGCCAATGTTTAAGAAACTTCCTTGGAAAACTTTGCCACAGAGCACTATCTGTCCCAGTGAATCTGTGTTTCTAACTATACTGGGACATCTGGCACATTCCTGGGCTCAGGACATGGGGCAGGTTCTGCGGCCAGCCTGCTCATCTGCCCATACAGTCTTGATTGCAGCCCTTCTGAATAGAGGCATCTGTGCCACAGATACAGGGATAGGCAGATGAAGCTGCCATTTGAGGGTCAGAGAGAGGTCCTGAGATGCCCGAGGATCACACCCACTGATCAACTCAATGCTAAGCCAAATATATCAGCTTGTAACAGCCATTCTCCAGGAAGAAAACAGTCATGGGCCCTTTATCTTCTCTCTTCAGTTTAATTTGATAAAATTAGAGGTCAGCCTCTGTGGCACCATCCAGGCCTTTCATTACAGAACCCTGAATTCACTGCATGGAAAGGGCACAATTACTGTGTGTTTGGTCCAACAGCAGTTCCCAAACTGCATGAAGTGCAAGAACCTAAGGTGATAGAGGACAGCAGCTACTTGGAACCTGAGTGCCAGCTCTGGGTCTGGCCCATCACCCGTCACCAGTCATCCATTCCATTGCGGCATGCCCTGTTGGAGCTACAGAGATACCAGAGGATCCAGGAAAGGTCCTTGAGTTCTGAAAGTTAACTGAATCCCACCTCTGCTCTCAGTAACACAGCAGAGTTAATCAGTAAAATATCTTGTACAAATGAACAGAGTGTCCAGACCTGGGAGTGTAGGTCTACACAGCAGTCTTGGCAGCAGGAGGTAATGTCACATGTCTTTGGCTGGCTGTCAGAGCTGCCCAAGACCATCCAAGATAGAAAATGCATGCACTCAAATTTCTACAAATGCTAACAGGTGCACAACAACACACATGCAGGTGGGTACACTGGCATGTACACAAACACAAATGTACTCAAACCAGCATACGTGCTCATCTAATTGGCAACACATGCATGAGCTTTTACTGGTGCACACATGTTCTAGCCAGTGTACACATTTTCTAACTGGTATATACATGCACTCTAACCAACACACATCCACAGCTATGTACATATGCTCCAGGGAAATTGAGAAAGGGAACACTTCTCTTGCTAAACTAACCAGGAAATGGGCCTGAACTCTAGAGCATCTTCCTGGCCCTGGCTAAGCAAGGCAAGCCTGGGTCCTGAAAGCTAAAGAAGTACCCAACCAAGATTCCCCATATGTGTGTCCAGGCGTGCGTGCGTATGTATGTATGTATGTATGTATGTATGTATGTATGTATGTATGTATGTATGTATGTATGGGTACATGTGTACAAGAGGCATAGGGTCAAACATTGTTGTACCTATATGATCATGTGTTTTAATAAACTATGGGGGCTTTTAGATTTGCAGAGAGCAGAAAGCCTGAGGTATCTCAGCTTCCCTAGTCAGCCAGTTCCCTCAGTGTCTGAAAGCTCCTTACCAGTACCTTGTACACTATCTGCTTGTCAGGGACAACAGCACGGAATGACTGGAGGGAGGCAGGACAGGGACAAGAACAACACAGATGAAAGGACCAGACAACATCTCCGGGCAACGTCAGCATGTCTCCCCAGAATGCTGGGCCCTCAGACGGTGGATCCCTGCCTGACTCCTGGCTCTGGTGTCCAGTCCAAGAGCTCACACATAGGCAGTCTGATCACACAGACTTGATTTACATCCCCTTCTCACTGGAGATGAAAGAATGGAAGCTTCCTGGATGCATGGGGAGCCTACTGTCTGAGCAGGCCTGGAGGGGTGTGGGTGAACACGTCCCTTACTGCAGGAAGCACACACTTGCCCCTTTCAGAGCAGCTCAGAACCAGCCCTCTGACACTATCTTTGGTGTCCGTTAGAGAATGACATCTGGGTATGTGGCCTGAGCCACTCTGAGGGGAAGTAGTGAGGTCATCAGGATGCTCTACATACACACAGGGCTGTACACACGCAGGCATGCAAGGCAACTCAGTCTAAGAGGCTAAAAATGAAGGTGCACTTACAGGTTTCCCCACTCTCTACATGGAAGAGAACACAAAGAGAAGGTTACTCCAGCAGAAGACTCTACACAGTTGAGCCAATTCAAGTACCAGTGGCCATGCTAAGCTGGTAAATGGCTGGCCTTGGTCCTTCAATGGATTCTCACTCCAAAGGGCCCCAAAGCCCTCTTTCTCTCTCTTGGGACTTGGGACTTTAGAATCATCCCACCATCCATGAAGACCCAGTCAAAGGAGGCGCTGGCCCTCTTTCAGGCTTGGGGGCTATGCCAATGGACTTAACAAAACCTGTTTCTTATGATGGCATCCCCACAACTCTGTGACAATCACAAGGACCTCAGTTTTGAGGTTCTCAAGTTGACCCCAGAGGTCAACAGCAGCCTAGACTATTGGGGATCTGGAGCGCCACCTTTCTAAGGGGAGTAAGCACCCTCTCCCAGCTGAGGGAAGTCATTAGCAGCAGGAGAGTAAGGCTCACAGGCCAGTCCCCTCATGATATGGCTCAGTGGTACTGACAGCATAGCCTTGGGCTGGTCCCAGTTCTCTGCAGGCCTGTGGGATGGGAGTCTGTCCTCACTGTGCACTGGCCCAGCCCACACAGACACTCACGGCTTTAGGCTGAAGAGGTCTTTGAAGCCTGACGCACTGGTGTCCTTGTTCCTGTGTTTCTCTGCAATGAGCTTCTCTTTTGTCCATGTCATCTGCACCTTGTCAGGTGTTGCTGGGGCTTGGGTTCTAGCAGCTGCTGTGGTATGGGATGCTGTGTTCCTGTCGTGAATCAGCTGGGCCTGATCAGGGAACAGCAGAAGTTCAGAACACACCGTGTCTCTTGAAAGCCATCCTGGAGAGAACCTGACCAGTGAGGCAAGCAGACTGTAGAGTGAACCAAGAGGATTCACGAGCAACTGGCTAGAACCCCTCAACCACTGGACAGCAGCTCCAGAGGACCCTGGCACTGTCCTCACCCCACAAGGGGCTGCCTATCTATTGTACAGCACTGGTGCCACAGATTCCTTACTTGGTGTAGCCCCTGACCAGCAGACACACCTGTATGGCAGTTTCTATCTCAGAGAGGGGCTTACTTCAACCTCTCTGGCTGTCAGGAAGTAGGGCGTGCCAGGCTCACAGAGCCTTTGGAGGGCCATAAATGGGTGGTGTCTGGTAGTCCAGAGAGGGTCATTAGGAGGAGTGCCTATCTATGCAGCCCCATCCAGCAGCTTAGGCACCAATGGGATGGGGTGAATGTTTAAAGATCAACCTGCAACCCTAGGCCAAGGGGCAAAAGTCTGAACAGTTCTTCCTCTTGTCTGGGCTATCAAAGAGTCTCTGAATCTGGGCTGTCAACAACCAGGAACAAAATGGAACATGATATCTGTCTCATAGAGTCACAACTAAAGCTCAGACACAGAGAGGGCACTTCTAGGATTCCAGTGGAGACAAAAGACTCTAGGAGGCCTTGCTCCAGTAAGCATATCCATCCGCATGGAGGCTAAGTGCAGCTGAAGATACAGTAATCCCCACACAATCCCCTCATAACTACAACTCATAAATGTCCCGACATGACAAGTCAACGTCTCAAGGGGAACCAGCAGCAAAAGGTCCTCTTCATACTTGGCAATGGGGTCCAGACAAGTGAGTTTGGCTGGGTGAGGAACTGCTGACCCTCATAGCCCCACCCAGGGTGGGTCAAAGTCCACCAAGGAATGCTGCTACTCATCTTGACCCTGAGCAAACGAAGCTTCCCACCCATCCTGCTGAGCTGCTCCAAACAAACGAGTGGCCTCTGTCCCACATGGGGGCACATCTCTGCTGAAGTCAGACTCTTGAATGCTATTCCCGCCTTACCCCAAACCCTCCTTTATCTGAGTTTAGTAATTCTCCAGGTTAAAGATGCCTGAGTTTAGTAATTCTCCAGGTTAATCCGCTATTCTCTGTCCTGGCTGAGGCCAGAACAGATGGGTTGCTATTGGGACTCCCTATAGCCCACAGGAACGGTGACAGAAACAAAGTCAGAGTCTTCCCAGACAGTGTTGGAGCTAGCTGGCAGGCTTCCATGCTGTAGTCTCTGTCCAGACATGGAGGGCATCCTATCTGGGTCCCAGTTCTGTCTTGTGTGCCCACCCAATTCTCCTATGAATCTGGGGTGATCACAGCTCTGATTCTAGCTGTTAATCACATGACCCACGTGCCAATCACGGCCAATTCGCATGGACACGGAGTCACAAAGTGGTGAGAAGCAGAGGGTTCTTGTGCCCCTGTGACATATGTTATCACTGATCCCATAGACAATCATTCCCTCCACCCAGTTTGCCACTGCAAAGCCTCATATAAGATTCTGGAGTTTGGGTTTAGAGAGATGGCTCAGCAAATAAGAGAACTGGCTACTCTTCCACAGGTCCTGAGTTCAATTCCCAGCAAGCACATGGTGGCTCACAACCATCCAAAATGAGATCTGGTGCCTTCCTCTGGCCTATAGGCATACATGCAGACAGAACACTGTATACATTAAAAAAAAAAAAAAGTTTGTACAACAAAAGACCTACGGACATAATCTCGAAAGAGGTGGATGTCATGTTATTCACCATCTGTACTTTCCTAGGTATGAAGTGGCCACAAAGATGCCAGCCCTCAGTCACACTGCACCATTGGGGACAGGTGGCCATGCTTGCTTGCTCTTCTTCAAATGCCATAGGAACTGTGTGAACCCAGAGCCATGTGTTGCTGGGTTGCCCTCTGCCCCTATCAGCACAGATTTCACATTTGAGGCCAGATGGCACTGATCCTACCTACTTTCTTCTCCCCAGTGCACGTACCTCTCTCTCCCGCTCATTTTTTGACAACTGCATCTGTTTCAGCATCTGTGACCTCTGCTCCATCATTAGCGTCTTCTCATAGGTGAATGCTGATATGTCATTTTCAACCTAAAAATGTGTCAAGCCACAAAATTAAACAATGTATACAAAACATGGCATCAATGCCAACCACCTACCTAACCCCCTTTTGTCAAGTGGCCCTAAGCAAGTAGTGTCCACACATCCTATAGGGTTAGATCTCTGTCCCTGGACTGTCAGAGCTCCATGCCAGAGCAGCCTGGGAAGGTATGAGAATGTGTCACTATGGATGGAAGTGTGTAGGTACAGGCTGCAATAACAGCAAATTATAGCCTACCTACAGCCCTGCTGGGGACTCCAACACTATCACACAGACAATGATGCTGCTGCATCTTACACTGACCAGCTACATAGCTGTTCGGGGTTCTGGGTAGAGCATTCCTGGCTTGTCTCTGTAGGAGCTGTGCTCTCAATGGACCCAAATAACTGGTGTCATTTCCTGTCTCAGGCAAGCTCACCCCTCACAGAATTATTAAATCCACAGGGAAAATATACCAAACCAGGTGACAACAGCATTTAAGCACTAGTGATTTGAGGATCTTGACTATTGGCACTCAGAATAGCCCTGCCCGTTACACTCAAACACCTAAAACCTTACACTCAGGGAAGCCCCTTGTCAGCTGACCGTGATCCCAGGGGTAGAGACATAGACCTCTGTATCCTAGTGGAAACTCAGGAATTGAGGGCAGCTCTTAAAACCAACCTCCTGGGGCAAGACTGAAACCGGGGGACTGGGCAGCCTCGTACATGTACACAACAGACACAGGCCCGGGCCAATGCCTGGCTGCTGGTTTCCACGCCTAGCCCTGGACTATGTCACGAGACCTTGTCTCCTTTCAGGGCTCTTTTCTGGGCAGCTTCTGTTACAAAGTCAAAAGATGGTTTCTGACTGCTAATAATGCTATTTCTATGACTTGTAGGTACAGCCAGACCTAGGTTGCTATCTATATAGGAGGCTGCAAGAAGAAACCACATAGAGCGAGTCTATAACTCCAAATGGCTGAGAGATAACTAAATGTGGATAGGCTCATTTTCGAACAGCACACCCAGAGCACAAAACCCAGTGATACCCAAGCTGCCCTGTGACTTACACAAAGCTCTTAGAGAAGTAGGAAAACGTAGCCCTGTACACAAGCTTCCCTGGGACCTGACAGGAAAATGCAATAGGTCGTCAATAATACAGGGAGATGCCAGGCCTCATCCATGATTAAAGAGACACAGCCAGAGACAAGCAGTTTGCAAGTTCTACAGTCCTGGAGCTGGGACTTCTCCATGTGACCATGGAAGGGTAGTGGGTCCCTCTAGCTAACGTGGCACTCCACATGCCATGGAAAGGAATGGGTCCTTCTGGAACACCCTTCAAACATAACCCTTATGTGGCCGTAGAAGAGAACCAGGCCTCTCTGGAACTATTTTACCAAATGTGACACCCTGCCAGTTCTACTCCAGGGACAGCACGTAGCCATGCACAGACTGCAGGGTCAACGTGCACTGGGTGCCATCCATGATCAAATGATCAAAAGGCGTAAGCCATACAGAACACACAAGTGAGAACATGGCATTCAGGGAAAGCAGAAGGCAATGAAGAGCGAAGAATACACAGCTCATCCACACGGTGCTACTTGGTCCATAGGGACAGTCTTGGGTCCTCAGGCACAGCTGGAGTAGCCATCTCAGAATCAACTTCACTCCTTAGTCATTCAGATGTGGTAAATTGCATCTACTGTACCCACAGTCACTTTATTCTACCTGCTAGCCCCACACACGTAGCCAAATTTACCCACAGATGAACAAGTCATCTCTAGCTGTGGAACTATGAAGCCACGGACAGAAACAGAGCTAAGAGCTTCAGACCTCTGGGCAGACCTCACCCCTAGGGACTATACCCCACAGGCCTGGTCCACAGACATACTCAGACACAGGATGGAGAGTACACAGTGAGACTATACAGTAACCCAAAGGAGAACATAGGGATGCAAGTCCAGAAACGTAGCATGGCATCAGGTTCCCCTACCCACCCGGAGCATGCGGGTATACACGCACCATCTCCACCACCTCCACCTCAGCGCTGATCCTGAGGTGGTACAGGAACATCTGTAGGTCCTTCTTCATCTGGATGCTGTTATCATCCACCTGGGCTACAGTGAAGATGCGCATCCGGCACTTTCGCCACACCTGGGGGAGGGAGGGGTCATTTCTGCAAGAACTCAAGCAAGACCATACCCTTCATGCAGTGGTGCCCCTGTAGCCTAGCTGCTGCCCCGTGTCCCTGTGGCAGACACCTTGTGCTGGCGCAGCAGGAAGGGCAGCAGCATGAGCATGCCCCCGTCATGCACAATCCACCACACATCAATGTGCCCGTCACTGAAGCGCTCTTGGTTCTGCGGGAACAAGTCGATGTTTTTGGCCACCAACAATGCCTGATGCGCTGCTGTAGTATCACGGACAGTGTCTGTGGAGAGAGGCATACATGGTGAGCTCTCAGGGGGTGGTAAGGCTAGCTTCCCTCCACACAGTAGGAAGACTGTCACAGGTTAAACAGTCAGGGTCCCATGAAGTCATCTACCCAGGAGGGCATCAAGGAACAACTTCCATGTCACCAGCTACTCCATGATCCCCAGAGGGTTGGGTTGGAGACTGGGTTTGGGTAAAGTAGCCATTTCTTTTCCAGTGACTAACAACTTGGTTAGCACATTCAAAGGCCCCAAGTATATCTACTCTGGACAGACTTAGGTATGATAGTAACATGGAGCCTGGGGCTATCATGGAGCCTTGGGGGGAAATGGTTGCCACACCCACCCACAAAGTTCTTCCAGGAGAAAGGGTTATCTGCCTGCTTCCAAGACTCTGGCCAGGCCATGAGGACAGTGTTGTGTTTCATGCCACCAAGGCCAGCTGACTGGATCAGGTGAGATGCACCATCTCGCAGGTTGGAGGACACCACCAGCTGGCAGAAGCCTTTGGTCTTCTCTGCACCCATCAGAGAGCGGATGTTCTGTGGAAGTTGGGGGCAGGGCATCAGTATGTGATGTCAAGACACAGGTAAGGGGCATCAGATCAGTCACCACTTCAGTGAGAGGTCCCTACACACATGCCACAACCTGGCATTTAGGGATGGAGCCTTTGAGGAGTGTTTGGGAGTTGCTGACCACATGTGTTTGCACATATGTGTGAGAGATAAAGTAAACCCGGCACCATGAGGCACAGCTCTGTGTAGGTATCAATGAGATAGTGCCTTAAAATGATCTGTCTTTACCAACCACCCATTATTACTTGGATTGGGGGTGGGGGTCATATCAGACAATGATCATCAAATGCTTAAATGCTTCACGGTAATGGGTCAGCTTACAGCCTTTGAGCACATTAAGGGCACCAGCAAGAACTATCAGACCAGCCACAAAGTTAGCCTCTACTCCCGTCATTCCATCACTGTCAGGCATCCACCGCGACAGCTCCTCCCTCCCAGAGCAGCTTGGGATCAAGGCAGAGGTTGGGCACTGTACTCAGGACACACCATTCACTAATCAGCAGCCCTAGGGATGTTGTTACTCATCTATAGCGCCCAGGCTACTAGGCCATCTTGGGTGCAGGGTGTCAGATAGTACCTAGAGCAACAGTCCTACACATGTATGTGGATGGTGACCCTCGTGCCTCCACACTCTCCCACATCACTGGCCGCACACATTTCCCACACACTTCTGTAGTCCCTGATGAGATTCAGACTTAGTACTGATGCCGTGAGAGTCAAGACTTTGGAGATGCTGTAATGAGATGAATGTGCTTGGGGGACTAGGATTGGTAGGACTGGAGGTGTTGAAAAGGGCCCAAATTATGACCATGCTGTAGCCAACACGGGGAAAGGTATCCTTGCAGAGTGACCCTTACTGTTCAATGAGGTCCTGAATCCAGTAACAGTAACTCAAAAGAGACAGAGAGACAGACAGACAGAGACAGAGAGAGAGAGAGAGAGAGACAGAGACAGAGAGAGAGAGAGAGAGAGAGAGAGAGAGAGAGAGAGACGCAGCTGTGTGGAGATGGAGGCTGAGGCTAAAAGGTGCCTGGAGCCCCAGAGCTAGAAGAGCAGGACGTATATTTGAGCCCACCCTGCCCACACCTGTTTTTAGACTTCAGCCAGTCTGGGTTTGCTCTATAGGCACAGGACACACTTTTCTCCTTTCTTGGCCTGATTTCAGCTGCCTGTGTCAGCCCACCCCCGTGCACTGCCCTGCCCTGCCCTGGAGCTCCACAACTAAAGCTATATCGATAACACATGGTTTCCCAGAGTCCTCTTCCCCCCCCCCCTTACTTCCTGTTCACCCCCACCACCCATCAACCACCCAGGGCAGATCAGGCTCACACAGGCATGTTCTACTTATAGAATTCCGTGTAATTCAGGAACAATCCAGACACACTGTGCTAAAAGGGGAACATGCCAATGAGTGAGTGGGAGGCAGCCCGGGCAGAAAGTGTGGTCACAGGGACGCAGCTGCTCCCAGGCGGGAAGGAAAAGACAGTGCCCACGATGGGGTTTCACAGGAGAACTAGAGAGGCTGGGTTAGCATGATGGCATGTGGCAGGACTATTCTGCTGTCCTTCAGGTTGAAACTGGCTAAAGGTCACAGCAGAGAAGGCTGTGGAGTGGAGACCAGAAGGACAAACCACCACTACCCTGGTTTTGTGATGCCCTGACACTGGCTGAAACACTGCTTTCCCCATGCTAAACCACCACTACCCTGGTTTTGTGATGCCCTGACACTGGCTGAAACACTGCTTTCCCCATGCTAAACCACCACTACCCTGGTTTTGTGATGCCCTGACACTGGCTGAAACACTGCTTTCCCCATGCTATACAGCTGCAAGAAGCTGGAGCTGGGTCTCCCTGCCTAACTGCTAGAGAAACGCCTGCCCAGCCTAGAGCTGTAAAGGCCAGAGCCCTGACCAGGCAGCCACCTGGCCACGGTCGGCATTGTAAACAGACAGGTCAGCACACTGGCAAGGTGACCTAACAGGAGAGGAAGATGGGATCTCAGTTAGGGAAGGATGGGGTAGCTCAAACTCTTAGGCCTTTTCATGCAATTGGTACAGTGGAAGGGAAAGTAATATTAATCCTGAAAAGTTATGGAAACACCAAGTAAGAATTTTCTTATACAAGCTTTGATTATTTAAAAACAACAACAGTCGGATTGGGGGACAGAGCTCCATCAGAAAAGTGACCCAGGGCCGAGATATTGGCATGAAGGACAGACGGACCCTTGGGCAGCTCCTCCTTTTGCTTTTGCTGATCAATAGAAATGACTAATTCCAAAGCTAAAGCCTTTTCTCATAACCTTCTTCCTAGAGGTACTTAGAGACTAAAATCATCCAACCATGGTTGAGGAATGGCTCAGTGGCCGGGTTTGCCGGGCATTTGTCTAGCAAGTATGAGGTCCTGGGCTCCCCACCCCCAGCACAAAAATAAATAAATAAATAAATAAATAAACAAATGAATGAATGAATAAATAAATAAATAAATAGATGAGACTGTTAGACATAACCGAGAAAGCTAGAAAGCTAAGTGTAAGTCTCATATCTTATCAGAGCAGAGATTAAAAGTGGGGTCAGAGGGTCCCCAGCAGCCATTCACTTCAACAGATACCTTTCCCGTGAGTTGCCAGTGAGATAACGGGAGTCCACACACGCCCTTGTAATCTGCCCCAAGGGGTAGTCTAGCTCCAGGGATTTCCTGGGAAGGACATGTGCATGGCAGTGCTTAAAGCAGACAGCTGGGGCCTTTGTGCCCAAGGATTATCACGGAACAAAAGCAAGAGCACCTCAAGACAGAGCTACCTCCTTCCCCCATTAGAGAATGCCGCTCAGACCAGCTGCAGGTCAGATACCAGTGGACAAGACAGAACATTGCCCACCCTTAAGGACAGTAGCTAGGATGCTTCAATTCAAGAGTTTACAGTCAACAGCCACCAATGTTTAGACCTAAGGAGCCATATCATAACGGACAACTCCTGGTCTCTTCGAAGGGGAAAGGGAAGGATCCATGGTTTCTCCTGTCCTTTTTGAACTTGCTGAATCTGAGTGGCCTGAGAGGCTGCCCAGGCAAGTGATGCCATCATTGAAGAGCCCACAGGATTGTCACTCCAGATCAGGGCCATCAACAGCCATTTCCACCCATGCCCACAATCACTCCGCGGAGCAGTCTTACCACCTGGCATAGTCTGAACTCAGCAATTAGGCTGCAGCTTGTGGACACACAGACAGCAGGAAGTCTGGGTCCACAAGCGAGACCGGATATAGATGGCCAGTAAGAGAAAAGCTGGATGATCACCCTCCTCCAGAGAAGAGGGTGACACCTAAGCATGGCAGCCATGACGGAATCCTGAGTAAGGTCCACAAATGGAAAGAGGAGTAAAAAGACTTCTGACAATTTGGGAAGCTAGACACTGGAGATGGACACTCAGAAAGGGTTCTACATAGGTGACAGAATAGGATGTCACAGGAAAGAGAAGGTGGTGATAGGACCCTGGCCTGTGGGGACAGCAGAGGCTGAAGATCTCCTGTCACAAGTAGAGAAAGAGAGAGTGCAGGAGCGCAGGAGTTACAGGCCAACAAACTGTGGGCGGCAGGCTTCAGAGATGGCACCAGTGTGCTCTGGGAGCAGGTTCCGCTGACCTCCCCTCGTTCACAGGGTCCGGACATCTGGCAGCGCACAGCCTCACTACCCACCATCTCTACATACTGGAAGGAGCTGGGGTGCATGGGGAGCTATAACTGGAAGCAGGAAGAGTACCAAGACAAGACAGGGGTCCCAGTGCTTGAGTCCCACAGCATGCTGAGTGAGCTGTCACTGTCCCTCTATGTCTCAGAAGACCACACACCTCATTTCAAGTCTGACTTCTGACCGTTTCAGACTCAGCAGCCGCCTTCATGGATACAAGGGACAGCACATATACAAACTATGCTCCTGAACCTCGAGACGCAGGACAGGGCTGGTTCAGCCCTTCCTAGGTGGTTGGAACCCTGACCCCATTCACTCGCCACTACATCCGCCCACCTCTTCAGCCCTCTGGGCCTCCACGTGCTTGTCTAAGTAGGTGCCCTCCAGCACGGAACCCACGATGGTCAGGCCCTTGCCAGCCTTCAGCTGCGAGGTGAAGGACAGCAGGCGGGGGTGCTTCACGCACTGCTCTGCATCCAGGTTCAGCATCACCAACACCTGGGGCCTGCGGTAGGAGAGGCAGGGATGGGAGTTACAATGGCAACACATGACCAGCGCTCCAACGCTCACTAAGCCAGATGGGATGGAGACGGGAAAGACACGCAGAGACAGCACAGGAAGGACACGTGGGGTGGGAAAGATGGGACAGGTGAGACAGAATGAGCATGAGAGACAGGTACAGGCCCCGTGTGTGAGGCCTCAGGGCAGAGGAAACTCAGAGGTGTGCTTCCGATCCACACTGCTGGTGGCTTGTTGGATGTTCAGGTCCCACCTCTGGCTATTCTCCTATTCTTAGGCAGGGATACCCTGTCAGAGCTCTCCCCAGGGGCCAAAAGCAAAAGCTTCCGAGACAGCACTTACAAGGTCTCTGCTTTATTCTGCTGTCTGGAGGCTGAGGCTGTAGGATGTACTCACCTCCAGTTCTTCGTATGTGGGGGTCCATGTTCCACACGCAGTAGGGCATAGCGGGCAGCATTCAGTGACAGGCCTCTGATGCCATCACCCCATTCCTTCTCAGCCCTGTGTGGGTACAGAGGAAGCCACCTTGTCCCAGGAGCACTCTAACAATGCTTGCCTAGTTGGGGCACCCACAGAGTTTCTGTAAACCCAAGATAAGCAGGAGCTATTGGGTACGATGGTAGGGTACAAGCAGCAGGACTTTCTTTGTGGGATTGACCACCAGGGGCGGAGGGAAGAATGCGGGTAAGACCACAACTTGGAAGCCCTAAACTAGATTGGTCTTAAAGCCCAGGGTGGGGACAGGACAGTCAGGGAAGAACAAAGGTAACCTTGTGGGGATGGAAATCTGAAATGTGATATAGCCCCTGAAACATGCCACCCTGGTCCAGTGTGTGCGTGTGTATACATGCTTACAATGGGCGCCACACAACAGTGCTGTTGCTGACAGAGTGCAAGGTTCCTTAAACAGACTAACAGTTACAGCTACTACACGCAGCAACAGATGTACCCACTGATAAATTAGAACACATGTAAAATTAAAAACAAAACAAACAAAAAACCTGCCCAGCTATTTGCACAATAGCTCCAGGGCAGGAAATAAGTGTGTGTGTGTGTGTGTGTGTGTGTGTGTGTATGAGCAAGTCAGCATGGCTGGGGCTGGGGGATGGCACAGTACAACATATCTCACAGGGTATCTAATCTCCATGAGACCTCATCCACAGCACCCAGATTCACACCAGGCTGGGCCCAGGTAAGTAACTGCCTGGTTCTGTGTAAGCATAAGCAGTGTGCTGAAGTCACAGCTATCTGAGGCACCACCACTCACCCACGGTATTCGATGTACTTGTAGATGCAGCCAGCGATTAGCATGGCAAACAGGGCATAGTACCAGGAGCAGATGAACATCAGGGCAAGGCAGAGACTCATCCCAAGGAAGGAGAGGGTCCTAGTGAACATAAAGCTCAGACCAGGCTCTTGCAGGCCCCCAAGCAGCACCTGAAAGACTGCTTCACAGACAGCACTTTCCCACCATAAAGACCTCCCTTTGACAGCATATCAGCCCCGGACCCTTGGCAATCAGGCCTGTCTGTCACTCAGTCATCCCTGAATATGAAATGCCTTCCAGGGACCCTGCTGTGGCACAGCAAAGTGGCAACTTGAGGAAAGCAGAGGCCTGTTCACCTCCTGAGATGCACAAGGTACCCCAGCCAATGCAGAACACAGAATGGGAGTCCCACCCTGTGCCCCCCAGCAACTGTGCTGGAAAGGGACCTTAAGACGACCAGTGGCCCTAGGACCTTCACATTTCTGACTTGACAAGGATGACATGAGAATCACGTGTGTTCCCAGCAAGTACGAATCAGACCTTCCTTAAAGCTCAGAGGCCAGGACAGGACCACGGCCTCATGGAATTCACCGGGGCTCCTTCCACAAAAACGGCTTTAAGGCCAGCAACAGGGAGCCACCAGAACAGACTGCATGTGGGTCTCTCAGGACATCCACAAAGAAGGCCTTACCAGTGGTAGAACTTGAAACGTGGGCGCCAGTTGGGTGTGCGCAGCAGGGTCTGCACAGCACAGGCCAGGTTCACAAACATGTAGCACATGAGGAAGAACCTGGGGCGGAAGGAAGGTCCAGTAAGACTGCTGTCCACGCAGTGGCACTGCAGCGTCCTGTCGCTGCCCTACCACACTGCTCACCACCTTCTAGGGAGACCCTCCCTGTTCACACAGTGACGGTTCCTCTATGGGCCTCCGCACAGCAGCTGAGGAACAAGTCACATCCCTACTGTCCCTGGCCACATACCATGGAAGCAGCTGTTGCCCAACCATTGCAGCTATCATCTGTAAACCCATGCTGGCCTCGGCAGGCCCGACAGCTGTCTTCCTGGCCTTCTGTGCCTGCCCTGTATGTTTCTTCCTTACCCGGAGTCCAAACAGAAAGGAACAGTAGCCAAGTCCTCACACCCTCCACCCAGGTGTCCTTGAAGGCTACTCACATGGACAGGATAGGGGCCACACTGTCCAGGGAGGCAATGAGGATACCCGTCTCACAGATGAGAGCCGTGAGCAGCAAGGCCCATGTGGGCTCCCCGTTGGCCTTTCCATGACCAAACACCTGTAGAACGGAGAAAGACATTAGTGGCTAAGGTAAGAACACACCTAACCATGGCTGAGTAGAACATCTATGAGGCAGTGTCATCTGAAGTCTTTACTACTTACAAGAAAAACCTAGCTTTAGTCACATGTCACCATGCTGTACGAAGCCAGGCCCAAAAGAAAACTAAATAGCCATAGAGATAGGCTCAGGGGACAGCTCTGCCACTCCTGGACTTCCAGGATTGCTTTTTGGTTTTGGTTTTATTTCTATCTTCAGAGCATTTCTGTGTGGTCAGTAGCCTCACTGGATCTCCAGTCTTCAGAGATTTTGGAAAAAAACCTCTTTTGGTTTAAGCTGTTGGGCTATGACACTTTGATGCCATAATCTCAGAACTCTCGTTACATGCTAGGTTTACTCCAGGAACTTCAATCCCAGCTATAGATGCCAGGTCCAGGGATACCAAATCCCTGGTTAACATCAGTGGGACCACCCTTGACACAGCCACATGAACAAATATGGCCCACTGGAAAAAGGCTTTAATAGCGCTGGGCAGCCTCAGCCCCAGGACTGCACCCTCAGCCCAGCAGCTAGTGTGAGAGAAGACCAGTATAGAGTCCTAAGGCAGGACAAATGCCCCCTGTTCTTCAGTCTACAGGTCCAGCTCTGCAGGACAGACTCTTAGGGACCCTTGCACGCCCAAACTTGACTTTCCAAGGTCTCTTCTCAGGGCAGCCAGCACCATCTGCTGCAGCTTGAGTGAAGGGCTCACCTGCAGGAAGGGGATGATGCCATCACGGGCAATGGCCTGCAGCAGGCGGGGTGCCCCAGTCAGGCTCTGCAGGCCAGCACCACAGGTGGAGAAGAAGGAGCCAATGACGATGACCCAGGGGGATGGCCAGGCCAGCATGCCAATGACCAGGTTCCCTTGCAGGGCCTCCCCAAACCTGTAGATGAGCAGGGAAGGTGGTCAGTAGAGCATCCAAAAAGTGATCTGAAGACAGAAAAAAAAAAAAAAAAAAAAAATCTCTGTCCTCTACTTGAGTGTGAACCACTGGGGCTCAAGGAGAAGAAAGGTAAAGAACTCATAAAACAGAGGCCCAACCCAACCAGGACCCAACCAGCCTGGCAGCTTCCCTCAGAAGGGGCGTTAGTGGTTTGAAACTGTTCTCCTGGAGTCTTCTCAGGAACAGGAAGCCCTGGCTTATAGCAAGGTGGAGCTGGCCTCTGCCATTTCTGCAGAAGTCTGGTGGTAACTATATTCCTTCACCATACAGTTTATAAGACCCCGTGAAGCCCTGAGATTCTGACAAACTTGTACCCTAAGAAGGGAGGGCCCACAGTAGTCCACACTAAAGTCCCACTGACGCAGCAGCAGGGCTGGGGTCTCGAGGTCCCAAGTCTCTCTTCTCACACCTGTGTCTACTCCCCATCTCCAGTTTCATCAGGCCTCAACTTTAGGCTCCAGGCTCAAGGGGAGACACATCAACACATTAGCCAGGCAAAAGACAGTGTGGTTGGATAAGAGTTTTTTAGCTCATGTACAACTGTGAGGCCCATGGGTAACTGAATTTCAAAGCTAAAGTTTCTCTCAGGAAAGACAATACCAATTATAGTCAGTTCATGTAATAGGAAAAAAACAACATACTTATCTCGCAAGACCACACCTTCGATGCAGGCCCCAAACAGCACTATGCAGGAAAGATCTGAGATGAAGTCAAGGCATGGACAATCTTAAAGCAAGCTCCAGGTAGATGCGTGCTGGCCAGTGGATCCTATCCCATGAACCTGAACCAACCGTGGACCCAGGATCACCTAGAGGTAAGATGTCCCCATACCCTGTCCCCACAGTTGTATTCCACACCTCCACAGCCCTCTGGGACCTCTCCTCACACATGTCTACCTAGAGAGAATACAGCCACAGGGTACTCTAAACGTGCCTGGTTGGCAGCCCAATCACCCTGCTGGGAGGACACAGGGCTCCTGGAATTAAGTTTCACAAAAGCAACTGTGGTCAGTGTTTATGCCACAAACCACACTACACCCAACCAAGGCTGCATACTTTTCCTTTGGCATTACTGCACATTTGGAGTCAGGGCCTTGTGCGTGCTAGACAAGCACTCTACCACTTGGGTTTTTAAAGGGACATGTTTTAAAGGGACAATCACAAGAAAACAGGAATCCAGGTGCCATGTTTTAATATGGTGCATCACACAGGGTCGCCACAGCTACACACAGGGCAGGCTATGGTCAGGACCTATATGTGCAGAGTGCACCTCGGATGGGCAAATGGGGATGTGAGGACATGGACTTGAGCTAGGGCAGCAGGCTGGAGTTCACCACCTCTGTCTAGGGCCTCTTTGAGGATACAAATGAAAGACGTGGTCACGATGGCCAGAATGGTCCCTGTTGGGATGGACTTTTGGGCATCTTTGAGGTCTCCAGAGCGGTTGGATCCTGCCATGATCCCTGCAAAATAGACAGGAGTGATAGTGACAGATGCTGCCCACAGAAAGACTCATCTGCAGTTCAGAAAGACAGGCCAATACCACCACTGCTTGCTGGGAAGATGACCTCTGAGAACTAAAAGAAACAGAGAGAGAGGCCAGCAAATAGAGACTTGCCAAGAGACAGAGACAGTAACAGAGAGACATAAAGACAGAGTCGAAGAAAGATAATCATGGGGGGATACACAGAGAAAAGACACAGAGGCAGAAGGGGAGGAGGGAGGAGAGGCGGGCAGTCTCACCTGTTACGGAGGGGAAGTAGATGCCAACTAGCATGGTGAAGTAGGTCATGATGTCTGTGAGGACGTATGGCAACCCACTAGGCCGGCTCTCCTCAGACACAGGCACTGAGGACACGCCCTTCTTTTCCACAAATGCCCCCTTGTCTGAATATGTGCTCCACAGGTTATCTGTAATAAGAACAGGCTGGAGACTGACTCTTCCATCTTCTGTTGGGATTGCCCATTGGACTGCCTATGCCCAGCATCACCGTCACAACCACAGGTGGTTCATGTTCTTCCTGGGCTCTGATTTCAATCAAGGACACTCAGCTTGTGAGGATCAAGCACAAGAACTCCTCTCCCTAAACCTCTACATGAGGTTTCGGCACTAGGGGACCCTTGTGCACAGAACCAACATGCCTAAACAGCTAGCTGCACAATTTCAGTGCCCTCCCGGCTGGGCACCCACCAACAAGGCAGGAACACAAAGCTGTAAACGTTATTAGTTCCTCCAATAATCTAGGCAGCATGGCTACCTTCACTCTCCACTGCATCCCAGCCTGGCCCAGTGCAGTTTTGCACTGACTGCGAATACCCCCCATAGGGACCTCTCCATAAGTGGCCTCCAGCCAGCAACTGCGGCCTTCTATCCATATGCACTTGCTGACTCCCTTGAGATCTCTTGGGAGTTGTTCCCTCCAGAGAGCTTACCTCAGAGACTCCCAGCAGGACTTGTGAGTGAAGGACCCATGTGTTCCTCTCCCATCACACAGACACGGTCCTCAGCTGTCTACTGACATCACACTACACCATTGGGGAGCACAGAAACCCAACTCACAAGAGCAGGCTCTCTAGGAATGGTTCCTTCTCAATAAGATGAAGTAGCCCCCTATTTGTTATCCTAGTATGTGGAAGGTGATGACAGGGGTGGTACCAATCCATTCCTGTCATCAGGGTTCTAGGCTAATCAGGGCCAAATAGAAATTTCCAGGCCAGGCTGCGCTGTAAAGTGAGGGTCTCAAACAAAGATTAAATGCCTGGCTTTACCCAGCTGATCTGCAGCAGATGAAGAAGGTCATTCCAGGCTAGGGTTTGGCTCGACAGGACCCCAAGTACTTGGCTAAGCAAGAGGAGCCAAGGCACAAAGAGTAGCCTCAAACAGCCCAGGACAGTGGCCACAGCCTTCCCCAGCAGCACTTACCCAGGAAGACACCACTGGCCACACCAGGGATGCCCTGGATCTCCGTGACATTGTTCTGTACAAAGTACTCATCACAGGTGGCACTCAAGCTGGAGCCATTGCAGAAGAGTCGCCAGAGTGCAGTGGTCACTGTCCCATTGCTGACAACCTGCATTTTGGCACAGGTCTCAAAGCTGCGCTTGGCCAGCGTGCGGTTCCCAAGCAGACAGACCCTGGAGCAGGAAGAAGACCATTTGTTTTCACCACTCTTCTCAGCCAACTCTGAGTGAGGCTCAGTGCCTCCCAAGTAGCCCTAGTGTCCCAGGTCCATGTTACTGCAAGGGTCACATGTCAGGAGCTACATGTCATCAAGCCAGATTTCAACAGCTTGGTGACTGATCTCACATACAAGCCCTCAACTGGTCAGGGCTGTCCTCCTACCTGGCGTAACTCACTCTAGAAGGAAAGTGGCCATATGATCCACAAAGATGCCAAAACCACTGCTCTGGGGATTTCATCCCATCCTGGCTTCCATATTCTCTTCCAAGGACCATGGCTTTGGTCAGTCACAACATGCCCAGACCCGCCACCCACACCTTGGGTCCATGCTCATTCATTTGCTCACTATGACCTTGGCCACCCTGGTTAACCTCCTCAATCCCACAAGGGGACAAGAGCCAGCCCATTTGAGGGGTTTCCAGGAAGCCAGGTCTCATGGATAAGAATGGGCCACACTGGAAAAGCTAGGCCATCTGACTGGTGGTTTGAGAGTATCTCCCATAGGCTCAGACATTTAACACTGGGTGTCCAGTTGGTGTGCTGTTTGGGGAGCTTCAGGACACACAGCCTTACTGCAGGAAGCTATGCTATTAGGGGCAGAATTCATAGTCTTGCCCTGCTTTCAGTTTACTCTGCTCATGTTTGAGGTTGAAGATGTGATCTCTCAGCTTCCTACTCTTGCTGCCATGATGGATTCTTATCCCTTTAGAATTGTAGGCCAAAATAAACTCCTTCTTCCTTCCATAGGTTGTTTCTAATCACAGTGCTTTATCACAGCAACCAGAAAGTAACTGATACACTGTCCATAAGGCCACTGGCCCCTGACCTTCATCAGCCTCCTATTCTCACAGACAGACACAGGACCAGCTGCACAGGCACTGTGTGTGACACCCCATACAGAGTTCCTTAAAACCACACTGAAGCCCAGGAGCGAGTGACTGCCAAGGACACCTCCACATTCCTCCTTAGAAGAGGACCGAGGGTCTGAGAAGAGAGAGAACCAGGAGGCCCAGCCCCAGAGAACACTGCAAGATGAACCCAGCATTAGATCAAGCCCCCTCACCCCCTCCATGGCCTGGGACTCACGGGATGTCAGGCGGGGCAAAGGCTGTCTTGATGACACCAGCATAGATGGCCAGGATGGAAAGCACGACACAGGCTAAGAAGACCAGTGCCAGCTTGTTGACATACTTGACGCCAACGAAGACCACAACTGCCATGAGTGCCAGTGCGCAGCTGCCATACACACGCATGTTGTTCAGCAGTGCTGCCGCCTCGCCATCTGCCGTCTCTGCCTGGAAGATGGCTGCACTTGGGGAGATGTAGGTCTGTGGGGATGAGGCAGGTCAGCGAAGAAGGAGGTCCTGCCTAGGAACCTGCCCAGCCCTGACCTCAGGCAAAGCCAGCCCCTCGGGACTGAGGCCACTGGGAGTCCCCAGACACACTCCCGTTTCCACCCAGAACGGACCCAGGGCGCCAGGCATTCCCTGTCCAGTTCCCACAAGCTGCCAGAGCCAGGCTGTAACCGGCAGTACAGGAGATCAGGCACCTTCAGGAAGGAAGGAGAGCTGGCAGCTAACTCTTGTGTGCAATCTTAGTGGCCAAACTGAACTGCCTGGGTCAGGTTACTCACAGGCAGGAGAGAACCCTTGTGGTGAGGGGCCAGGGCCTACTGCCAACAGCCTCAGCAGAACCCAGGGTATCTCCTCTGTCTTCACTAATGCCAGGCAGCTGCTGAGCACACTCTCCAGAGAGCCACCAAGAAGCTAGTGTATCCTTCAAGCCGCTCTGCCTTAGAAACCAACCAGCTCCTAGGAATGGGCATGACAATCTAGAACCCCGCCCCTCCAGCCCTCACTTAGTCTGAAGCCCAGAACCCACAGGGGAACATGGACTCCTAGATCCCAGCCCAGACTCTCCAAACTAGAATATACATTTGCCCCCAGGAAGCCTTCTAATCATGGGAAGTCTTCCCTACAGGCTCGGAGATAGCTGGGTACCAAAGAAGAAAGAGCCAACTCCATGGAGATGATTGTAGTAATGGTTAATATTTATTGTCAATTGACAGTATCTAGGATCACCTAGAAGAAAATCCTCTGGGGATACCTATGATCCAATATTAGATTAGCTTCTGTCCATACCGTGAGATATTATCTTAAATTAGTTAAAGGTGGACAGACCCATCCTAAAAGCTCCCTTCCCTGGGTTGGGATTTTGAACTGTAAAAAAAAGGAAAAGGTTTTGAACACTAGGATTCATCTGTCTTCTCCCCAACTATTGAAACAATGTGGTCAGCTGCTTTGAGCCCTGCCTCTGGTCATTTCCTGGTCATGATAAACCATTCCTTAAGTTGCTTTTGTAATAGTATTTCATCATAGCAACCGGAAAAGAACAAGTACAGAGAATAAATTCCCCAGGCTTCTGTGAGATAGGTCAAGTCTCAGCTATTGCCTTGTTCCAAACCTGGAACCTTCATCTTCTAGGTTCACAGAAGACACGTAGTCTCAGAGGCTGACCATACTGTACCTGGGGGGCTACAGACACTTAGGCTAAAGAGCCCATCAACACTGAGCACACAAGCCCAACTTCAATGCAGGGAAGTCCTTCTGCAAAGGGAGCCGAGTGCCAGGCTATACAGACGAGGGCCAAGCAAGCCTGCTTTGCCTTCAAGAGCTAAAGTCTTGCTCAAGGAGTTATACAAGCCCATGCCTCCTAAGACAACACAGACTATATATAAGGCCCTACCCATGAGGGACCCGGACCCTCAGCCCAGATAACCAGAGCAACAGGGCAGAGGACCACCAGAGGGAAAGTACGAATGGGCTCACAGGCAAAGTGCCTGGTTAGCAGGACTTCCACAGAGGAACTCACCAAGAAGATCTCAATGGTACCCAGGATGTACATGGCACCTGCAAATGTTGTGCCCAGGTAGAAGCAGAGGCCAACAGCCCCTCCAAACTCAGGCCCCAGCGAACGGGAGATCATGTAGTATGAGCCTCCAGCTGTAAAGATAGCCCAAGGAAAACAAGGGTCAAGGAAGTGCCAATTCACTATGAACACTGCACATTCATGCAAAAACATGTGTCCCCATGAAGGGACAAGCAGCTTTAGTCTTCTCTTAAAACAGAGCCACTAGGAAGCCTTGGGCAAAGAATTGGTGCCTACCCTGCCCAGGGGTACAGGGTAACTAAGGTGTGATAGAACTACCTGATACAGACAGGTACACTACCTCACCTGACTTCAGAAACATCTACTGTGACTTCAGATGGTTGCAGGAGGGACACTGGCACAGGCCTGCCAACTCTTTCATGCAGAGGACAAAGCAGTAATGCTTGGTGGAGTGTCACCACGAGCTATCAAACTGCATAGCTTCAGGAGGAGCTGGCCTCCACTGAGGTTTGTGTCCATCTCTGGGACGTGGTTTCTGTCCTCATAACAGAGGTCAGGCAGGCATGAGGGTGTGTCTACACCCAGGCCTCTGGGGAGAGGGCCACTCTCTTCTCTCCATGGGCAGCACGATACCCAGTGCCATCCTGATGCCAACAGTTAATGTCACTGTCACCATGAGCCTGGGGCAGGGAATGGTGACCACACACATGTAGCTCTTGTCCTGTACAGTGAAGAGCCACAGGCGCTGACACCCTTACCTGGGACCACACCGTTGGTAGCGATGGCACTCATAGAGATGGCAGTCAGCATTGTCTGCAAAGAAAGACGGCTCTTTCAGGAAACGTGTGATTCTCTAACATGCTGAGCCTAGGCTACAGGCTTTTGATCTCAAAGGAGGTACTAAGTGACCAGGAAAAGACAGGCCTCCTGGCTTTCAGTCCTTTCCTACTCAACCCACAAATCCATTCCCAGAAGTTACAGAAAACACAGACTTCAGACCCCGCCCAGCACAGCCCTGAAAGCTGAACCTCATTCTAGGTGCCTGGCCCCTAAGGAGGCCCAATTATGTCTCTAATAACCCATGAGGCACTGGGAGTGGGGATGGGGGTGGGGGGACGGGGACAGGACGGGGGACACAACACTTTAGATGTGTATCCAACATGACACAGGGAACCTTACCTTGTATCCACCTTGCCTTCAAGAACTACCCTCTATCTCAAGGAAGTTTATTTGTGGCTGTCAGGAGTGTAATAGCCACAATGAAGTGGCATGAAGTGCCCACCCAGAATAACCAGAGAATGTCCTGGAGTGGCCACATGGAATGACCGGTGAGGAAATATAGGCAAGTGGCCTAGGGTGACTATGGCAGGAAAGACACATGAAGTGACCATTGGGAAGCATGGGCTGGTGGCCTCGAGTAACAAGACAGACTGACCAGTCAGGGGACAGGTGTACAGGTAGCCACAGGGAAGGAGCAGCTGAAGGACAGTGGGTACCCTAGGCTAGACACACAGGTATGAGCTATCAGGGAACAAGTGGTCGGGTGGCCCGGGGCAGGAGTTAAAGGGACTCCCATTCAACCACATTATCTGAATTCCCTCCAGAAAGGACCCTTGTCCCTTCAGGTGACGTGTGGGTAATTAAAACAAATTTATACTTCTCGTCAGAGAAAGGTGAAGGAGAAGAAGTAGGACTGGTTGACAGACCAGGATAAACCAGGCATGCATGGCAAAAAAAAATGTCATTATAAATAAGGAGACATGCTGGAGGCAGGGAGGAGTCGGCTCTGAGTTTATTCTATCCCTTAGGCCTGGACTTGAACAAGTTACAGACCTGTGTCTACTTTCTCTACAACAGAGACCCTGAAAACGCCCACGATCCTTCAAGGGTAGTCTTGTCACAGCCCAGTGAGAGGCACCTGCCCCTAACGTCAGCCCTTGGTGTCCCCAGATATACAAATGCCACCCCTACAGAGATATAGCTAAATAAAGTCCTCAGACTGGTGGAAAACCTGGCCTTTGCCAAAGTGGATGGGCCAGCCCATCTTTCCCAAGTCCTCTGTAGGAGGTGGTTTCTAGAGAGGGACCTATAGGGCAGGCCTGGATTCCCCGGGAGTAGTCTCCAAGGGACCCCATACCAGCTCCTCAGAAACTGTCCCAGGACTAGCTGTGAACACTCACACAGGTACAGCACATGGACACGATGAGGAAGGACTCCAGAACGCCAGCTGCCCCCACAATCCAGGTCAGGCGCAGGAAAAGAATAACACCCAAGATGTTCTGCAGGCAGGGCAGGTAGACTCCAATGAAGGTGCCCATGCGTGGGGCCTAGAATAGACAAAGACATGTTCAGAGAGGCTCATAGCCTGTACCCAGTAACCCAGCCTAGAACCCTACCCATGCTTCAGTTTGGAGGTCACAGGGACAGAGGAACCAGTGAGGACCACAGTGGTCATACAGAGAAGGTACAAGGATAGGAAAGATGCCTGACAGAAACCCAGGTTCTAGAGAAGACCCCAGTCATCTAGGGCTGGAGGGGAGGAAAATCCTACTAGGCAGGGCAGGGACAAGCCTCCTTGTTGTAGAACAGTATTTTAAGGGTGTTACATGTGTTTATGCTGTGGAACAACTGTTTATAATGCACACACACACACACACACACACACACACAAACCCACAAAACTAAATCTCTTGGCTCTGCTTCCCTACTGGGGAGAAGAATCAGATTGGACAGTTTGAAACAGCAAGATCAGATCGCTGCTACACCTGTAAGGCAAGCTAGAGGCAAGCTAAGCCTTGGTGCCAGGAAGCTTGAGGCATAAAAGAGAGGAGGCCAGAGAGGAGCTAGATACAAGTGAAGCTGCCTGTAAAGTTCAAGAGCCTCAGTGTAATGTGATAGGGAACAGACTATAGATTTGGGGACACAACAGCTACGAAGCCAGACCCCAACACAAAGGAGGTTCATCTCAGTTTAGGCGAACACAGAATGAGCATGGAGGAATGGCTTGAGCACATCCCTATGGACAATGATCACACGGATGCTAAGAGCAATGCTCATACAGAAGCCTGACGGGATGTCACACAGCCTGAGACCAGACAGGGAGAGTCCAGCAACTGAAGAGTGGTAGTGAATGGTTGTGCCTAGCCTAAGAGCAGACTCCAAGAAAAACAAGCTGATCACCTAACCCTGAAAGGACAGGGTGGCAGCTCAGGCATGCGCACGGCCCTCCTGAGCCACCCAGGACAGGGCAGCCTGAGTTCCACCAATTGGAGACCAGAGGTCTCACAGGGAGACAGAATGTGTAGAAAGCACTACGTTTGAAAGCCTGGAGGCCTTAGCTCTGAGCCCAAGGCCACTGGGCAGCAGGGTGCACATTGAAGGGAGGGATATAGCAACAAGGAGACCTAGGCCTTGACCTCATGCCCTCTCTGTCTCTGAGGTCTGGACAATGCATCCTTGGGGCAGAAGTCTTATGGGTTTAAACTGTGCAAGCTGGCGGATGGAGAAGTGCCTTCGGAGCTTTTTTATTTTTAGTTATGTATGTGCATGTACATATGTGTTGCACCTGAGTGCAAGTACCCATGGAGGACAGAAGAGGGCATTGGATCCCTTGGAAATGCGGATATATAGATGGAGGCGAGTTGCCCAACACAGGTCTTCTGAAAGAGTAGCAATCACCCTTACCTGCTGAGCCCTCTCTCCAAACCATCTTTTAGATTTTTTCAGTTAAAGAATTTAATTAAAGAATTAAAGACCACAGTGTGAGGTGGACATCAGAGACAGCCCACAGAAGCATGGGAGAAAACAACCTGTCTAGGCAGGCCATTGCTAGGAAGTCTGAAGGTGCGCAAGCAGCTGCCAAGATCACATGGCTTAGCTTAGATCCCACTGAGACACAGGCTCAGGAGCTAGCTGTCTCCCCAGTATCCTAGTACCTGGGCGGGGGGGGGGGGGTCCCAGATTCTTCTAAAGGGGATGGCCAACCCTGAACTCTGAGCTTTGTTCAGATGAACTGAACCTGTTTGTATCCCAGAAGACAGCTCAAAGGAAAGTGATGCCTGTCTCTGGGGACAAGCTTCTGTGACATCAAAGGGGACACCAGGGTCAGGCTCTACTCCTCCTGCCCTGTCAATCCAATAGACCCCTAAGTAGGGCAGCTGTTCACTTCCAACCAAGATAAGCACCTCTGCTGTGGGCGTAATACTTCAACTGAAATTCAGTATGGGAACCATATTCCCCAAGGGAAACACTGACCCAAGAATTATCTTTTGTTGGGTTGGGGTGAAATATACTAAGGCATACTAAGCACAAACTCCCCAACCTGGATGCTCTGCTTGCAAGGACAGGTTCTTTCCACGGTCCCCTGGGGGAGGAGGGGCAGCCAAGCCTGCTGGGCTCCACTCTTGGATAATAAGAACTAAACTGTGGATCACCTTGAGTGGTGCCTTGGTTGAGCTGGGTTGAGGCTAAGGGTCAGTTCTAAGATGCAGTCACACCAGTGTTTATTCCCTGGCACAGGCCAAGTTCTCCTTGAACACAAATTCCGGCAGACAAAGGAGATGGACAGATGGACAGGGAAGGCCTGGGGTTTCTGAGGCCCAAGAGCCTGTTGGGCCATGAGGCAGTGGCGAGTCACAAGCCTACCACTGCAGCCCCTAAATTCTCCTTTGTAGACTCTTATTCAGTACATCTGGGCAGCTATGACTTTGCCACTTCAGCCGGGTCAGCTTAGGATGCCCAGAGGATCTGGGAGGGGGCAGGAAAAGGCATGGGCCAGAGAACGCTTCTAAGGAAGCCCTTGCCCCACTGCCAGGGAGACAGCCCATGTCCTTGTTAACCTCAGCCCTGTCCCCAAAGACCACGCGGCCCCAGATCTGAAAAGCGCCGAACCTCATGAAGACGTGCAGCAGTACTGACCCTGCTGTGCTCACACTGGGAGGGAAAGGCAGCACCTAAGGCCACTCTGTGGCCTAACCTCCCTGGAGCCACAGTCAGGCTGGGCTCTGGCTCACGGGAAGCACCTAGGGAAGCAGCTGGATGTGACAAACAGGGTGGACACAGATGAAGGAAGATGTGGAGGGCAGATGAGCTGGCTGTCCCCCGACTTGGCAGGTGTCACGGGAATGAACACCTTCACCTGTGTTCACCAGCACTGTATCCCTACCTCTAGAGAAAGCAGAGGCCTTTGGGAGGTAGAACAGAGGGGGGAATAAAAATCAGTCTTTAGTGAAGGTTTTAAACCAGGCACAGTGGCACGCACACCTGTAATCCTGATGCCCGGAAGCTGAGGCAGGAGAACTATTGTGAGTTCTAAGATAACTTTGGGCAACATAGTGAGTTCCAGGCCAATCTGGATTACAGAGTGAGACTGTCCCAAAAATCAAACAAACATACACCACAACCAAATAACAAAATGACACAGAAAGTCAGCACTCTGCCAGATTCAGGCAGGGCTTAGTGCCACTCCTCCACTCTCTGGAGCTGTGTGGCCCTGAAGACACCTACTTCTCAGAGTAGGCAAGGCAGCCTGCACAGGACTGCCACAACCTTGCTTCTTCCTCACCCAAGTTTGAGGGCCACCCACAAGCACAGGACATTGGAGACACAGTACCAGAAAAGGGAAAAATGGCCAAGCCTCATGGAGAAAAAGGGTGGGTTTGATATGAAAGCCTGGCAAGGGTGTTCTCTGACTAGAAAATTCCAAGACTGCCACATAGAGGGCAGCATGGGTACCTTGATCTCCCTCCTCCGGCTGTCCTCATCTTCCTCATGCTCCACCACACCCTGGGTCAGGTTGGTATAGTTGGCCAGCTTGTTCAGCAGTGATGACACCATGGGATTGCTGTCCATCTCTTCCTGTGGATACAAAGCATCAGATAGATAGGAACCAGGTTCAGCATCCCAGGGCAGCAGGTCACCGGCCCAGCAGGTACCTCTGTCCCAGAGATATGTGGAACCTAAGAGCCAAGCTTGAGATACACGGAAGCCCCCAGATCTATGTGCCCCAAGACACTTGCCCAGCAGGTCTGGAATCAGAAGTGAGGGATGCTGAGACTCTCCCCAAGGCTTCAGGAGCTACAGGGAATGCACCTGTCCAAGTTGCAGCCCACATAACACAGATAAATATGCTCAGTGGATCCCAGGCAGACGCATCCTGCTCCTTCATCGGGGCCCAGGCTACCTTTGCCCAGGATTTGGGAGATGGCTTCTCCTTTACTTTTTCCACATGAAACTAAAATAAAATTACCTCAAAAAGCGCCATGTTCTTCCCCTCGAAGTAGCTCTCTCTCTCCACCTCCACATTGTTGATGAATGGGCTATTCTCCCTGGGGTTTCCATCTCCTGTGGAAGATAGTCAGGTCAGTCTCAGGAAAAGGAGGCAGAAGGCGAGCATGCAGCTCTGGGAGGCAGGCATCAAGCACCTTGTTCCTACAGTCATTGGTCCCCACCTGTGGCCCTGGCTAAAGATGCTGGTTATCCAAGCTTTCTTTCTGCCCACATGCCCATGTCCCACAAGTGTCCGTGTGTCCCCAACACAGGAAATTTAGTGTAAAATCAAGCATCAGTCCATTTGTCCACCCCACCTACTGAGGGCCCAAAGTCTACCCCCATTAGTAGGGCTAGTACCTTTGTCGAGGACCTACTGGCCCTCCCTTTGCACACCACCATTTCGGAAGCACTTTCTGTTGTAGGGCCTGAAAGGCCAGGGCTGAACACTGGCTTCCAGGTTCAATGGTTCCCTATGTGTCTCGATGTGGGGAACAGAAGAGATATCACCCAAACTGCAGAGAACAGCTGGGATTCTCAGCCCAAGGGGCAAGCATGGCCACACAGTCAGCCTTCTCAGAGCACCCACAAATGAGCCTTCCTGTGTCGTCACAGGTGGCACATCTTCCTTTGCTTCTGATCTCTGACCTAAAGTTGCCCACCCCTTCACAGCTCCGTTTCCAGAGCTTCAGTACGGTCAGTCTCAGGCTGTGCAGACCCTGAGTCGGGGAGTGGTCAGGTCAGTAAGTATAGGGCTCTCTTTTCTTTTCTTCTCTTTTCGGTTTTTGAAGACAGGGTTTCTCTGTGGTTTTGGGAACTGTCCTGGAACTAGCTCTTGAAGACCAAGGCTGGCCTTGAACTCACACAGATCCGCCTGCCTCTGCTGGGATTAAAGGCGTACACCACCACCCTGCTTAGGTCTCTGTTTTCTAATTCCTTCCCTGACAGAAATGTCCCTCCGAGAGATTCTTCAGCCCTTGGCACACAGGGCACACCTCATGCTTCCAGGTTCCTAGACTGGTCTTCTCTGCCTCAGTTTCCTCAGGAGATGGGACTAAGATATGTACTGGGACATGGCCTTGTTGGTAACTCCAGGAGCTCAGAACAAACCTGATCAGCCTGGGTACCTAGTATGTAGTTTCTTACAAACCTAGGCCAAGCTGAACCACACAAGGAGGTCACCACAGGAAGCCGGTGGCACACAAGGTGGATCCTCACAGGAGGAAGGTCCCACAGAGCATGGCTTCATGGGAAAAGATGGGCAGCACTTCTTTGGAGCCCCAGTGCCTTATCATGGTCCAGGGGGCCATGGCTCAACTCTGGCTTCAAACATCTTAAGGGAATGATATAGGGAAGTCAGAGAACTATAAGATAAGAACAGGGGGTGGGTGGAGCAGGAATATGGGACAGAAAAAAAAAATCAAGAACAACCTCAGCAAACAGAGAGAGATGGGATAGGATGTTGCCAACAGGTTAGGCCCCAGTGTGGCCCACACTAGTACCCTACAAGGGTGTTTGCAGCTTGGTAGCTAGCCCTCGGAGGCCCTCCTACAGTAGCTATCCTCATCAGGCAGGACCCTCAGTTCTGCTTCCTTTACACGTCTGGAGTCAATTCAAGGCCCTTGACAGGCAGGACCAGTAACCAGTTTAATCTTATGGCCCCTAGGATGAGCAGAGCATACCTGTAGGCTTTGCTTCCTGAACAGAGTACCAAAGCCTTGGGCACATGGCCTGGATATCTCATGTTCCAGATGCCCAAGGATGTAGACATCTGTTCAGTCACAGAGGGCACAGTACTACAGGTGGGCATCCGCTGATAAGCAGGGACCCCAAGGAAGGCATACTTAAAGGAACCTGAAGGCAACCATTGGTGGGAGCTCTTGGAGCCTAGGCCACCTCTTGGCAATTAACACTAAGACTCAGAACCTCAGATGATGGAAACAAAGGACTTCACAGGGACCAAGAACTGAGTTCTGATGTGATGGAGTTGAGTCCCCTGCGCTGGTGTCTGGAACCAACGTCTTGACCCCTGAGTACATTCTGGGCCAGCAGCACAGTGTGGAGGTGACCTGGAGCAGGGCAATGACTCTACTTGTACTTTTCCAAGGAAGCTACTTGGAAGGAGGAACCAGGTAAAAGAACTCTGGTGACCTCCAGTTGAGGAACAAGACGTTCCATTATGTCCCCTTTCGGGTTCCACAAACTTCTGGGGACAACTATCTTAAACGCCAAGAACTTCATGGAACAGATTGGCCCCATTAAAGACTAAAGCCCTCTTTGAGAGAGGACACACATTCACCAAGGTTTGTTTTGTTTTGTTTTGACAGGAGCTTTGAATTTCAAATTCCTCAAATCCCAATGGATTATGCAGGCCTTCCGGACACGCCCACACACACCTCCAACCCTGTTAGCTAGTTCAGACCATGGCTTACCACCAATCTGGGTGGCACCTGAACAGAAGAGACTGACGCAGTTCCCTGAAGCTCGCTAGGCTTTTTCAGTCTCAGGATACACCTGACCCAGGTCCTACTCACAAACTCCAATAATCAAGGTCATCAGGGGCCAAGGAACAAAGAAACACAAAGTGCTCTGCCCTGAATTTAACTAGGCCCCCAAAATTGTGGCATCTGATTACATACGCAAAACCAAAGCAGGGGGGAGAAACCTTTGTTAGGGCCCACAGCCCAGAAGTGGCTTTGTTCTAATCAGAGATTCAACTTGCCAATACTCACCCAGATGCTACAAGCTCCCCTGTGTCTCTGCTTTTGCTAATTCACGGCCCTTAGCCTCCCCCAGAGGTCACCAAGGAGCTGCAGTAAGGCAGGAAGAGAACTATGAAGACAGTCCTCTGAAGGAAACTCATAGAGCAGCACAGACAGCTGAGAACACAGCCACACTATGCCTCTCTGCAGTGTCTAATAGGACAGGAGCTCTGGGAAAACAGAGGGATATAAATAGCAAGGCATAGTCCCACCCAGAGATCAGCCCTGCATACCCTGTGCATTCTGTATACACACTATTCTCCCTAGTGGGGATCTCACACCCTTGAAGTTCCACTCACATCAGGACCTCCAAGAGAGTAGGAGGGGACAGGGTTGTGTGCCACACCATGCACTGAAGCTGAAAACTGGTCCTTCCCTGAATGACTGGGAAGCTGGGGGCAGAGTGAGGTCTGCAGAACCACCTATGCATACATGCTCACCCTTGGATAACCATGCAGAGCCTTTCACATGAGTGAAAGCTTGTAAGCCAAGGCACAACCTCCCTGGGTACCCATCAAACCCATACCAGCCACCACACAGAGACACCAGGACAGCATCGTGCAAATCAGCCCTCTTCCATCTGGAGGCAAGACCCCAAGGTGGGGCCCGCCTCATCTCATCAGCTTCAAATCTTATATGTAGCAGATACAAGACAGTCAAAGGACAGAAGTGGCACCAAAGGACACAGGGGAGATGGGTCAGTGCAAGCAGAAACTCATCAGGTATGAGACCCAGGCCAGGAGAGAGCAGAACAGTGTGGCCAAAATCTTCAGAATGACTCCTAAAGCTCCATCCCACAGTGTCCTACCAAGACATTACTCTACAGGCTGTCATATAGAAAGAGGGCACAAAGCCAGGCCATATACCCTAGGAACAGACCTGGAATGTGAGGGAGGCACTGTGCTCACTAAATGGAAAATGGCCTGATGGGATTCATAATACTGAACTTGTAGTAAGAGACACTGGGAAGCCCAGGAGAGCCAGGCCTCCTGCAGGACTGCTCCACACCATAGCACAGGACAGCACAATGGAAGAATGGCGGAACTCCCCTAGGTCACTCTGTGCCCACAAGGGTCCCCTTCCCATAGAACCACATTAACACCAACCAAGGCACCAGCCACCGGGTCACTCCCATGATGTCATTCTCAGGGACTGGCATACTTCAGTGGCTCCTCCCCAATCAGTCAAGAGTCTCTTCAAAAGGGGAAGTGACGTGCACCCTGAGGTATCTTCTGCCATCCAGCAGCTATGACCACCCAAATAAGGGTAAGACATTCACACCGATGAAGGGAAGGCATGCAGGGCCCGGGAATTTGATAGGGGAAGTACACCAAACTTCTCCCCAAAGCCACTTAGCCACACTGGGCTTCTTGGGAGCTGGCTGCCATAGATGGGACACTGGGTAAGCTCTAAGAATGGCCAGGTGCTGGAGTGGAGTGCATGTCTGTCTTCCCTCCCTGTACCCTGACCACCACGTAGTTGTCAGAGTAGTCAAACACAGAGGTAGACATACTAGTGAAACACAAAGATACTCTGAAATGAGGCCACCCTCACGGGAGGGAGCTGCCAGCACCCACCTGGATACCAGGCAGGCTAGCTGCAAATATGAGCCTTCTGTCCCTGGGCAGACCTGTCCTCGCCTCTTTCCACAAGACTACAAGGGTTCCAGCTATGAGGCCAAGAGATGGTTGCACACGCTATGCATATTGTCAAGCCCTGCCCTCCTTTTAGAAAGTTCCGTAATCCCTCACTCAGCTGTTACACTTCTGGATAAGAATGCCTTCTCTCTGCATGCACAGTGGGCATAAATAAACACAATGGCCCCAACACAAACAGGTATAACCTAACTTTGAGCCCACATAAATATTGTGCTAACCACCCTGAAACACTATCCTCATCCTTAAATTCCTTCTTCACAGAGTATGGGTAAACCATTCTAGAACAGCATTGCATGGCTTCTGGATAAATATGATGTAAACTTAGCACATACCCAAGTACACTGGACAGTGGAGGCCAGTTTCTTCCCGTGGTGTGTGTGTGTGTGTGTGTGTGTGTGTGTCTGTGTGTGTGTGTGTGTGTGTGCGTGCCTCTGTGTGTGTGTGTGTGCCTCTGTGTGTGTGTGTGTGTGTGTGTGTCAGATGAGCACAGAGGTCCGACAAAATTGAAGCATGAGTGCAAACTCAGGGCTTTTCGGAGAGTATGTACATGTTACCCACATGTGCAGTTCCTAGCTCTGTCAGCCAACAGGCCAAGACGCAGGGCACTCTAGTTCATTTTCCACTTACACCATCTCAGGAGAGCTATCAACTACAG